GCCCCTCAGCATACTGTGATTTGGCGTATTCTGTGTATGCACTTGGTACCACACTGTGCTGTCATCCTGCCGAGCCATCTGTGTAGCAACAGATTACCAGGTAGCCCTATTAATCCAGGTAGGCTGCACCACGTCAGGGAGGAAATGAAGCCGAGTGGAAAATGTTTAAATCAATAAGACCCACATTTCCACTCAGGCTTAAGGCTTATGGCTTGACTTTGACACAGCGGGCCAGTGCAACAATGCAATAGCAACGCAGTAGGCTTATCAGGCCGCTATATAGGATTCAGTCCGGTTTGGCTCAAGGATTTTGTGTGATGTTTGTATGGATGATTAACAGCCCTGTGTTTATCAGCTCACTTTCACCTTGCCAAAAGTTTGAGACTGTTCGCCTCTCTAGCAAAAGCTGCAAGTCGGCACTTTTCCTCGAGCCACCGTCCTCAGAGGATTAGAAAGAAAAGGTTTTGTTTCTGTTTCAGCCCATCCATCCGTGACTCTAGATTTGATTTTGTGAAGGAGAACGCTGAGTCACGCTGTGTTTTTCTAGAAGTAGAGATGTCACCTGATGTATCACATTTGGATGCTTAACTATGTTTTGCTCTGCAGCTCCATATGAATAATCTGGTCAGAGATACTCTGACTGAAGCTGTTTTAGTGCCTTTCAAAGGTGCGTTCTCTCATTACACTGCACCATGTAAACCAGCTCCATCGCCTGCTTATTAGATTCAGTTGGACAGAGAACATTCTGCTAATTAATGCTGCCGGCGGGCTGTGTGTGAGCGACTGTGTTTGTGTGTGAGTCGGTGTCTGTCTGTGCTTCCGTGGTGTGCTGAGCTGAGATTTGGGAACCTCGTTAGTGTTTGTGTGTGCGTGCCCTTCTGTCTCCATGCCAGTGTGCAACTGAGAAATGTAAATGTTATTTCTGTTTGCGTGAGTGTGCACGCGCATGTGTGTGTTTGTCTTTGACCCTCCGCTGAGGCAGGATATGCAGGCAGACAGGCAGAAATTTGCATTGGCGGTAGCACCAGGGATCTGTTTGATCCGTCCACTTATAACACGTCAGGTGGCCTTCCTGCAGAGAACCTGGGCAGCTATCTCATTTCTCAGGGAGAGAGACATACACAGATAAGGCAGATCAGGCACTCGGAGGCAGAAGAGAAAACCGGGGATAGTGAGAGAAATAGCAACAGAAAAAGACAACAAATGAGGACTAGGGTGGATTTAATAACAGTGAAGGAAGAAGAGACAGACATGGAGAGAAAAAAGCTAGAGAAAGAGTTATGGAGGCAGATAGTGAGTGAAAAGAAGTACGTGATAATGGGAAATGGAGGGGAAAGAGAGGGAAATGGAAAATAAATTGTATCAACAGATTTATTTCTATTCAAAATGGCTTCATTCTGTTGTGCCTCATCACACACTTATGCATGTCTTTGACAGTAATGGAAAAATGAAATGAGCACACATATTGTCATTTTTACATTTGGATGCAGATTTAAATCATAAATAGACAGACATTCAAGTCAAAGTGGCGGTTAATACAGAGAAAACACACTTATGCACGCACACACACACACACACACACACACAAACCAGCACTTGCTCTCTTGTCATTTCCATATTGTCAAACCCACATGCAGCACTGTATACCCAACTCTAACTCTGTCCTTTGTAACACACACCTACGCATAAAGTACACACACACACACACACAGTCAGTCAGTCCCCTCTCATCCCCTGTATGGGTGAGCATGCACTCAACCTTCCTCTTTCTTTCAAATTAAAATGTATTTAGCTGTTGTTGGAAGAGTCTGACATAATGTAAAAGCAGCACATACATAAATAAAACATTGATTATTCCGATGATGAGCAACCAGTCAGTTACAGTAATAAGTCAAATGGAAAACATAATGAAAACATCCACACACTTCTTCACAACCTAGTTAGTCGAATTTAGGTGTTATTTCAACCAATTTTGCAAACACATTTCTCATATGTATCTATTTTGAGCCCCGTCTCTCTCTCTCTCTCTCTCTCTCTCTCTCTCGTTGTCTCCTTCACACACATACACAAACACAAATAACCATCGAGCCTCCTCTCATTCTTATATTGCCTAAACAAGTCCAACCATTATGCTTTCTAGAACATAATACTTAGGTCCTATGAATTATAAATGCCTATGGTTTCCAAGCAGCTTATTTTTAGAGTACACACATACACACACATCCCCACACCTACGCACATCCAGATTGCTTTACAAAGCTGGGGTTACGTCCCCTCCTGAGGCATGCAGAGGTTACACTATGAACTCTGTAGGGTTTGTGTGTGTGTGTGTGTGTGTGTGTGTGTGTGTGTGTGTGTGTGTGTGTGTGTGTGTGTGTGTGCACTGGACCTATGTTTTTGCACAGGTGTGTTTTCATTTTGTTTTGCCTATGTGTGGTTGGGCCTCACACACACACATCGCCATTAAATTCAACCACAGGGGAGACGTTCACTCAGCATGAATATAGCCTCTTTAGACAAAGCTTTTTTTCTATATCTACGAGTTTTGCTTCAGGGGGAAATGCGCCCCTGATGCTGCTGAAAAAAAGATTCTGTTTCTGCTTCAGTTCATCCATACGCTGAAAAAAGGTCTATCTTAAAGCTAGGGTAGGTAACATTGGAGAAAGTAGCAAGCGAGGGCTAGATTTGGAAAGTATCCAACCCCGCCCCTTCAAGTCTCCCTTCAAAGCTGCTCCCCTAACACACATTATGTGATTTATTGATTTCTGTTGGGATGTAAAGAGAATTTCAAACAAATCTAACAAATGCTTCTGAAATACATTACCAACCCGAGCTTTAACTTTCATCCTGTGTTGAGTGTTTAAACCAATTTGAAATAATACACTTTTACACTAAGTAACTTTTACACGTTGAAAAATTAACTGACAGATGTCTTCAGCAGAAGAACGATCATCTAATTTAAATTTAAAAAAAATACCTTGCAAGTTTCTTTGTGCTCGAGACAAATCAAACTAATGTCCAGCTCGGCACAGGAAGTTTTTCTCTATGGAGTGCTGACTTGTTTCCATGGAGATGCATGTCGATCTTTTTAATTTCAATTTGCAAACAAAATGAATCATCAGGATTCGAAATAACAGGACGTTCATCACTGTTGTTGCTGCTCGTTGTGCTTAAGGAAGTAAAACAGACATATTTATACTCTCATGTCTGTAGATGTGGATAAAGGGTTCAACACTGACATCATTTTATTACTAACAAGGCTTTTTTTTGGCGAAATACAAGAATTTAAAAGTTAGTTAGTTAGAGACGAGCTCAGACACATATTTTCTCCCCCAAACTTGGGAGCCCTTTCATGTTCTTCTCATAACTTCCACTGATACTCTAGACCCTGTGCCCTGTGTTTGCTGCAGTATGTTTTCCCTTAAGCTCCAGACTGTTCTGGAAAAATCATGAATGCAAAGAGACACCTCCGCTTGAAGTAGGAGCCTCTTTTGCATACTGTCACTAAAGAAAGGCAGGGGAGTCGTGATACTTCTTGCCCCCCTCCCTCACTCCCTCTGACTGAAATTAATGGCTCCATCCACTCACAGTGACACTGATGTACTATTAGGGGCAGGTTACTGCTTAGCCCAGCGGAATCAGGGCTCCCCAATACATAAATCAAACCCCAGTGTGGTGAAGCGGTTGGTCTGTAATGTTGCTGCACAATAGGATTTTGGAGCCTGACAATTCGATACGAGAAAATATCCGAAGACTGAAATTCTGCAGTTATTTTGTATGTGTGGGATTCGTGTGCGTGCGTACGACGGCCGTCAAATTCGCAAGTACACACACATTTGTGAGTAGAGTCAGAGATGCTTGTGCAGCAGTGTGTCTGTGTCTCTGTGTTCCCCCAGAAAAGAAATGCTGTAGGCTGGGTGCCTGCTGGGTGAGCTATAAATAGCCTCCTAGTGACAGCAGGACTTAGAGCATAATGTGAGGGAGAGGATCTTCCAGAGATGTCCACATTCATTATTTAAAACTTAATATACATTTAATTTTCTACACCAGTAACTCTAGGCACCAGCCTCTCTACATCGCATCTAGCCAATGCTGGCAACCAGAGATACCACTGTTAAAGCCCAGAATTATCAATAAAGCCAAAGTCAGGCAAATCTAAAATATCTTTATCTTTTCTCTGAATGACAATATTTAATTTGAAACTCAGACAAGACAGTTGGCATAAACTCTGTTTCATCTATGTAAACCTCCTGTCTGCTGTTTGATAAATTAGGCACATTTAGACATGAGGCATTAGCGACTGAGAAGGGTTGCATTAAATTTACCTCCCACTGCGGAGCCACTGGCAACTCTAATAATTGGGGTTTATGAACTGAGAGCAATTTCATGAGACTGAGAACATTCAAAGACCAAATTATGAAAATGATAGGAAGTAAAGCACGAGGCATAGCAGTTGTAATTCATGTTACATAGTGATGACTTTGTTTGTTGTCATCCACAGTGATACAGTATGGAAGAAATTGGAGGTGAATGGATGTTTGCACTGTATTTGACTGCATTGAACTGTGCGGTATCCAGCAGCAGGACGGACTCTGGGCGTGTATGGATATACTGTATGAAATCATTCGGCTCCAGAGCCATTCCTCTCTGTGGACCTCTTGACCTTTTCACCCTCATTTCTCTGCCAAGCCTTTCCGCACACACTGCTTTATCTGGAATAAGATGCTTGAATGTCAAAGAGTGTTAATAGAGAGCTCCAGGGTCAAACTGCACTGTATCTGAAAAGCTGGTGTGTTACTTTGAGTCTTTGTTTAGGTTTTACCATTTTGTTTTGCACAGAAAATAATTAAGTTATGAATTTTAAATCAGGCAAGCCTTTTAGATTGATGAGGCTCATAATTTCAGGCCTCTATAACTGATTGCAGTACCAAGTCCATCAAACACAAATATAAAAGTTTATTACCCATTTCTAACCCTGATTTCCTTTTACCATTTGTTAGGTTCAGACTTCCTCTGCGCAACTCATATCATCCCTGTGAAGAACGAGGAGGGCGTGGTCATGATGTTCATCCTTAACTTTGATTACATCCTGGATGAAGGCAGCAGTGACTCACTGGAGAGACTCAACCACACCTCGCCATCCAAAGCTGAGCAACGTGAGTAAAGACAGAAAAGGGCCAGTGGAAGCTCTTATTCCCTAATCCTGGCCTTGTTGGTGTGTTAAGTGTTATAAACTTTTCCGTTCTCATATGTACTGCAAGTACAGAAGAAAGTATTAGTTGCGGGATGAGACTGGAACAACAAGGACAACAGAAAAGGTTGGAAAGGGATATCAACTAACAGCCACTTGTGACCTTTTACTTGTAACCTTTTCCCACATCCACATCAATTTGTGCCTTTACGCAATCCAAACTGTGTCTTAAGTATTTGACATGACTCTAATATTAGGTTGCACGCCCTGTTAGATGCTGTAATGGATATGTTTTGTTAGTCTTGTAGCATAACATTAAAACCCAGACGGAACTTGTAGCGAACTCCAGCTTTTGCATTGACTTCTACTTGCAGCAGTGCAGGAAATCCCTGCAAGACAGCTTCTTCTGGCATGTTGACACCAGCGTTTAGCAGACACTGATGTGTTAGCCTGTCATCATCTCAAAGGTCTGGCCCAATTATAGCTCATAGCCTGCCAGGATGGCCTGATGAACTACTGGAGCAGTGCTGGAGAGTACTCTGCTTCCCAGATCTGTCGGTGTAATACTGTATAATGCCATTCCCCTGTGGTCCTCTCAAACATGCTCTGGATGCCTCCTCTCTCTTCTGTGGCTCTCCCTTCCTCCACGTTATGTCCGTGACATATAAAGCAGCAGCATGGAGGACCAGAGGTCACCTCCACATGACTGTAATTGGATGAGGCCCCTAACAGGCTGCATTGCCTCATGGGGTGTATAGTGAGAAGAGTGGGGATGCGTGTGTTGAGTATATAAGCATTGGTTGTCTGTGTGTGTTTGCGTACACTCTTGCGAAACCATGTGTGAACATGTATGCTTTTCAATTTGTAAATGTGTGTGTTTGTGCGTGTGTGTGTGTGTGTGTGTGTGCTGATAAGGCCTTCCTCTTTCACTTTTCTATGGGAGCTAATTGCTCAGCCTTAGCACAAGGGCAATCCCTGATAGAGCAGGCCTCTTTGAATTAAAGTCTATTCATGCCTATCTGAATATCTAAGTGGGCGTCTCTGCAAATCTGGTGGTGAGGTCCAGATTTGTTTACTAGGTTGAGTCTTGGTGCTGGACACCATCTCTCTCTCTCTCTTTCTCTCTCTCTCTCTCTCTCTCTCTCTCTCTCTCTCTCTCTCTCTCTGCCTACACGCAACCTCTGCCGTCGCAGGGATTACCAGAGAGAGTTGGTATTTCCTGGCTTCATTTCCTCACAGCTAACTCCAGAGACCTAGCATTGCTCTTTTACTAGCAGATGGACAGAGGTCACAAATTATGAATAACTCTGCATAATTCAACAGAACATCACAGATGAACAAACTGCTACAGATGTAAATTTAACTCAGTGAAACACATGGTGTTGCTATTCTGAGGAGCAGCTCTGCAGTGTGTGTAGGAGCAGCTGCCTTTAGCTGGTGTGAGCTGATGATCCATGATCATGTAAACTCCTTCTGGGGAATGAGCCACCATGCATTAGGGGCTGCTTATTGATTGCCTTTGCCATTTAGTGACAGTCTATCCATTCTCCAACCATCTTGGATTTCCCCCATTTTGCTTTGGTGTGGCTGAGGAGGACCCCTTCCACAAGAAAAGACCAGAGGTGTTTCAGTGACTGAAGATAATTGTTTATCATAACAGATGATATCTGATGATTAAGTCTTGACAGAAAGTCTTTGGTGCTTATAATCTACAAGGAGGTTTGTATAATCGAGAGGCATCTGCCCTGACCCTTGAGCCAGCTGGTCTTGCAAGATCACAATATAATATGAGAATCTATCTTGCCAGACTTCAAGCCATGCGCTTGTGTCCAAACCACAGTGGTTTAGACCAATTAGTCCTTTAAAGAACGACTAGAAGCTATGAGCTGTGGGCGTGATTTAATGCTAGGTGTGTGTGTGTGATGGCATGTGTGAGAAATGACTGTTTGCTCAAAAACAACAATGGTGGCTGCTATCAGTTATATCAGAACTGGAGTGTATTTTCTTAATTGAAAGAAGAGCAAAGAACGGCACTGAAGGCCTTTCTTGATTGAAAAGAGCGGCAGCATGAATGAACCAAAGGCTGACAGAGAGAACCCTATTTAAAAAGACAGCAGCAAGATTATAGGCTAACAATGTAGGTGTGTCACTGTGCAGTTGGATAGATGAGACTAGCTGACAAGAACAGCTGATACCACAAATGACAGCCCCTGATAATGACAGCAAGGAAATTCTGAGTGAGCATGCGTGAGAAGAGTGAATGTTAGGATGAGTGACAAATAAACTACAGGCCTAAGCGTACAAGAGAATAGTCTTCCTGACTGTACTTTTGTTGGAGCTTAATTCAAATTATTTGGCTACAACTTTGAACTAGTGTTTTAAAGGGTAAAGCAGTGTGAAAATGTTTTACTGAGGTACATTAGGCACTTAGAAAGCAGGACAATGTGTAGGCATCAAGTGGCCATCGGTAGGAAAATAAGGAGCCGAATATGTCACGCACCAAAGATAGATAGCGGCATATATTAGCATGTTGTCAGTACACTGCGTCACAACCACTGAGATCTCATATTAGGAAAAACTCGACACTGAAAGATCAAGATGTAATGTCTCCCAGTAAAATAGCAATCTGTGTTCACACCTAACCTGACTGGAACAGTTCAGATTAAGCCTGTGACGGGACTTTAATGTGAATCTAAAAGCTAAACAAAATACCTAATTTGTCAGCTCATCAAAGAGAATCCATTTTATCGGCTTTCTTTAGCTCCTTCCCACTACAGGAACTTAACAACCCCAAACCTGGAGCCTTCAGCTCAACAGTGGCTACACCTTAAGTCAAGTTCCTGTTGTAGAAAAGGCCTATTTGTAACCACCGGAGAGGAAAAATAAAGTCAAAATCAAGTGCATTTGGGAAAATTATGACTTGCTGTCATTCTTTAGAAGCAATAAATAGCTTTGATTATCCCCTACAGTGATACTGCAGTAGGACACTAAAATTGTCCAGTGACAGCCTCATAAAACTCATAACAAAGTGTGTTTAGAATAAGTCAGGCTGAACACTAAATGAACCCGGAGACACAAAAACCAACAAGGTACACACACATACATGATCCCTTTGCAGGTGCTGGGTTCCAAATGTATGCAAATTGAAGATGTGACGTGCGGACTGACAATGTTTGAGCCACCTGAGGTGTGTGTGTGTGTGTGTGTGTGTGTGTGTGTTAACTGTCACAATCTGCTGGCAACTAATCAGAAAAAATGCTGCAAAAAATAAAAATGAACTGTTATTAACTCAGGCTCAATGCAATCATGCTTTAATTTTCTCTGTCTATAAATGAGTGCGGGGCAAAATAGGGACACAGCAGATTTATCCATGTTATTCTCTGGAGCTGGTGAGTAATAGGAGAACTGGGAGCCCAGGTAAACACTCCTTAAGGTAAAAGAACACCACATGCAAATTAGTTTTTTTTTTTCATTTAACGTCAGCAAAATCACAAGAGCAGGAGAGAGAAACAAAAGGACACAAAGACGTTTTTTTGTGTCGCTTTAACCAAAGGATGAAGGTTTATTGTTCTCTTTCTACTTCTCCCCTGACATCTGAATCATGCTCACATTACAGAAAGACATTTCACTCTCCAACACAGGGATCTGAGGGCCCAATTAATATTCAATGCAAATATTACTATCTGGTATCATAGCAACAAGGGCCACTGTACGTCCATTGGTTGTGTAAAGCCACTGGTGAGTTTTTGCAGGGAAAGAATGAGAGGCTTGGAGAGGGAGTGAGAGTGAACACACACACACACACACACACACACACACACACACACACACACACACACACACACACACACACACACACACAACCCAGTAACAGCACTCAAAGGGCAGCATATTCCTGCAAGGTTCAGCCCTTTCAATATCACAATTAAATATAGCTACATACAATGTTCTCAGCACACACCATGGGTGCGTGACTGAATTATGAGCTAATTAAAAGATTTGTGGCGTATATGTTTATCCTCTAGGCACAGTAATTAGAAACAGAGCTCTGAGCATGTGGATGCTCATGAGCTACTATTCATTATTTTGTTAAGGTGTCATTTTAACAGTCGAGGCTAGTGTTTAGATCAAACTGTCAAATATGTGAAATGGTAGAGCGGCACGACTGAATGATGTTGTAATATTGCAGAGTGCAAAAGGGAACAATTTTCCTTTGGAGGGAAAAGCCCCGGTAAACAGAGTTTTGCTGTATTATGCAGACTCTCAGGCATATAAATTGGGTTTGCTGGCTTTGGATCAGCTGCAGACTGATGAATCAGATGGTATTTTGATCAGCAGTTTCATGTGCCTCATAGCGCTGAGAACAGATGAAACAAAACTTTGTTCATGATTCTTTTTCAGAAACCACAACAGCAATTCAATTTAATTGTCATCGTCGTTCAGATAAATGACTTGTTTACTCATGTGTGCTGTAGATTTCAGCTTTAGATCCAGCTTTAAATCACCAATTAAATATAGATGATGATTTTCAGCGTCATCAGCATCTGGCTCAAGACTTAATTTAAACACATTACAGTGACCCAGGCAGACAGAGAGCACTGTGTCTAAAATTAGTTTGTCTCACCCCAACAGAAGGAGCAATGGGGGAAGATAAGGCTGTGTGCTGCTTCCCTGCTGAGCTTCAAACATTAATTCTATTTTCTATTTTACCACCTATTGTGTCTCTGAATACATCCATAGCTGTTCCACTCTATGCAGATATTGAACGAGTATGTCAATAACAATGTGTTGTAGTTTACTCAAGCAACTACATAAAGGGAACATAATGATGTGGTGTGAGCTGGTTGGTTCATACGTTCAGGTTAGCTCATTGTAATGCTTTTATGAAGGGACTTTTCACTACGCTGCATGGCAGTAAGACTTGTTTTCAAAGACTGAGACAGCGTTCTGATATGTATGGCATATGTTCAGGCGACTAAATGATTCACAACATGCAGGCCATGGTGTGCGGTCCATATGTGGAATCTTGTGAGTGTGACAGTCTCTCTCATGACAGATATTGTTAGATGCAACTAAATGTGCCTATTTGTGAATGGTGTGTGCGTGGGTAGCATAGCCTACATGCATTCACTTTAACAGACTTCACACTAAACTTTACTATATTCCTGTTTCTTCACCTTTCTCCTGCACAGCATTCCCTCAGAACTACCTACTGTTATGACAGCAGCACCCCTAATATCACCTTGTCTGTGTTAAAGTGCTTCATCTCATTAAAATCCTGCACATACTCTTATCTTCGATAGGACTGACTCGTAAATGTGCTACTACGTACGATATTTTAGCAAATGTCCTCCACCATGAATAATTGAAGGAAATTGTAGATTGAACTAGTGCCCGAGGCGGAACGGGCATTTGTTTTGATCTGCCAGGGTCTTTTTAAGATTGCTGCATTGGCAGGCTTTTCAGTGCTTTTGGCAAACAAGTGCGAGATATCAGCAGGGATGTTGAAGGATGCAAGCGCGTTCTTCTGAAAACACTCCATGAAAACACAACACAAGGTCAGTTGGGGTTATGTCGATCCCACTGGCTCATTAAAAACAGCCATACTTTCTGTTTTTATCCTGTGTTTGGTCTCAAAGCAGTCCAATAACTTACTGTCAACTCTTCACCATAATTGAGTGACTTTGGGATCCACTGCCTGTTTATATGTGATACCAGTTCCCTCTAGGCACCCCATGCTCACTGTTATTGCCCCCCATAAACGGATGTCGAATGGGTACCATTATGGAACAATATGACAGTAATAGATTCAGTTTCTTTTTCTTATTGCTCTCTCTTGCTCTCTGTCAGGGAAAGGAAGATTCTTTCGCTTCCGTTTCCCGGCCTTACCTCTCCTGGGCATCAACAAGCAGTCCCTGCCCCAGGAAGACCCCGACGCCGTCATGGTGGACTCCCCTCGCCACAGCGACGGCTCGGTTGCTACACGTGACTACCAACTTCCCACCACCCGCGAGAGCTGCAGTCCATCCTACGCCAACGACACCCGCGCCCTCATCGGCCCCAGCCATTGCTCCACGCCCGTGTCCGGGCCTTTGGACCACTCGTCACCAAAGGGCCCCTGGAACCGGATATACCCGGACCAGGCTATCGCCCAGACCCAACAGCAGAGCCAGGAGGACACACTCATTGCAGCTCCGTCAATCCCGGGCCTCACTCCAACCGCCTCCAGAGAGAGTGTGTGCAGTATTCGCAGAGCCTCCTCCGTACACGACATTGAAGGTTTTGGGTCCAACTCCAAGATGCTGTTCAGGGACAGACATGCCAGTGAAGGTAGGAATCTCCCGCTCTACTAAGCCCTTAATGTACGCTGTAAAGACTACTAACAAGTGTTTTATCTATGTCATATTTTATGGTTGAAGTTGTTCTACTTGTAGTTTATCTTTTAAATTTAAACCCTCCTCCACTTAAAAATTTGTTAAGTTACTGTTATGGATGAAGAGTTTGCCAGAGGGCTGTTTTTACGTTCATCAGCTGAGAGGTGAAAGTTTCTCTGAGCTCACCTCAAAGGAACGAGGAGTTGATGTTATGATGAGTTTTTTTAGGGCAGGGACACATACCAGATACAAATCATCATTCAAATCAGTTTTTTATACATTCAAAAACATTTCTGGAGTGGATCTTTAAATAAAGTGTGTGGTTGGTTACCACTGCTCTAACAAAAACACTATTTGAAGTGATGATAATAACAAAGAGTCAGATGTGGTCAATACCCAAATGTTGTGTTTTTATTTAGACTTATGAGGGAATTTATTACTTGTGACAAACATTGACTATAATTTTACTTTATTAATCACAAAACTCCCTGTGGTCCCAAAATAGGGGATGCGAGATGTGGCGTGCCAGTCTCCTAATTGGTATTATAGTGAGTCACTATCTGTACTGTGTGTTATTGATCTTCCCTTGAGTCTAAATCACTCATTAGCCTTTTGGCCCTCATTTGGATGAGGGTAGAAGTGCCCCAGACTGGCCCTGTTTCCTCCAGGCCAATCAGTCTACCCCCATCCCCTTATCTACAATCCTCATTCAAATAGCTCCCACTGGCTGACACAGTAATATGTCTACTTCACAGTAATGAATTGTTCATGGGGGCACTAGCGGGGGTTTAATGCCAGTCGCCATTTGTCATCATAGAAAACCAGAGATTCTTCTCTCACCTCCACTCCCCTTTTTTCTTCCCTCTCCAACGATGTGCCGTCACAGACAATGGTCGCAATATTAAAGGTAACAATCTTGAGCTGTATAGACTTTAGCACGTTTATCAGATAATTCACGTATACTGCACCAAAGCCTGCTTGTTGCATGTGTCTTTCCACATAACTGAGGTTTATGTTGAATGCAAATGCCTTGGTGGGTAACTGACAGTGTGTTTGTACGTTCTTGGGGCCGGAGCCTTGAAACACTGGCACTAAATGACTCAGTCTCGGTGCACATGACCCGCTGCACCCCAGCCAGTCGCCCAGGGGAAGGCTCAGTAAAAAAAACAAAAAAAACCACACTGACCTCTGCACGCGCTTGCATGAAGCAACATCTCTTTTCCTGCTTTTGCTCATTGAGGAAAATCAATGAAGCTTTACAAGATGATACCTCCCACTGTCTGTAACCTCTCTTTTCTTTTATGCAACCTCTGGTTCCTCGCTGCCATGTCTTAGTGAATGAAAAGGAACCTGACTGTGTTTCCATTTGAATTCTATATGCTCGCTCTTGTTCTTTTCCCTGTAACAATATACATTGCAATAGAAGCGTAGCAGTGTGTATGCTGCATGTAACATTATCACACTGACACAGATTATAGCTGGATGCATTAATCGTGTTTAGGATCACATGAGTTCCCACAATTAAAGTATAACTAACCAATGTTGATGTTTTATACTATAAGCATCAGTATGAAATCCTATTAAGGCTTACTCACAGAGCTGCCAAAGTGCTCTATTTCCTGATAAATGCCATAATGTGATATTTTAAGTAATGTTTGTTCCCGTGACTACTGACCCTACAATCCAACCACCCTTCCATATTCCCACTTCCCCCTTTACCTCCTCTATTTCTTCTCTCTCCTGGTTTGCTAGTATCTCGCTCCTGGATGGCTGGGGGTATGGCTTCAGCTTTTCCTTTTAAGTTTTTTTTTTTCTTTTATGACCGCCATGATGTATCCTTACTGTGGCATGTATTGAAGCTGTGCATGCAATATCTCATCCTCAGCTGTCTGTTTCTCTGTCCTTGACTCTCAATCACTGTGCTGTACTTTGTGAAAAGGGGAAGAAAAAAAAACAAGCTTCCCTCTGCTGGCTCACATGACTGAATCAGCAATTCTCTCGTTTTCACTTTTTATCACTTTCATTGGGCCACATGTCAGTGTGTGTCACCGTGCTGTCACATATTGTTGCAGTGTTGAATGCTTTCACAAGAAGGCAGGGAGTTAATTTCCGTCCGTTTTTATCATATTGTGAACTTGTAGAGGACATTGGTGGTACAATGAGGGAACATTTTGTTAACTCACTACACGGGTTATGTCCAAGCTTCATTAGACAAGATACATGGTTTGACTAACTGTGTGAAGTTGCATTCTTTGATTGTGCATTGAATCATTCTTTTCTTTCAACAACAGTGTTCTTCATTAGTTTTTAATGAGAAACTTTGAAAGGCCTGTTCACCCTAGACGGGTCAATCAGAGGCTGTAGAGTTTGTATTTCAGCATCTGTTGTATTCTCAGTGTTGTGTCGTGGTTGAACTCACTCCAAAAGTAAGGGCCACTCCATGCTCACTACTCATGTCACAACAATCACAAATGAACACTAGAGCGTTCTCTGATGTTCACGATTCAGAACGCCTATTATATCAACAATAGCCCAACCACAGTACAAGACGTAGCAACTTTTAACGGTGGCGTCTTCCCTCTGTCGCGCTCTCTTTCAGGGCCGCTCAGCCAGATCAAATCCAGCCTGCTCGGCTCAACCTCCGACTCCAACCTCAACAGGTACAGCACCATCAACAAGATCCCCCTCATCACGCTCAACTTCTCGGAGGCCAATAATGAGAAGAAGTGCCCCTCCCCTCCATCCTCTGAGAAAACCATCATCGCCCCGAAGGTCAAAGACCGCACACACAATGTCACAGACAAGGTCACGCAGGTAAGACGCTAACACAGTGGGGCTCTTAACATCACAGAGGAGAAAATATCCAATATAAAAAAATCATGCCATTAAATGACCATTACTTTTTGGAATTTGAATCACAGATATTACATTGATTAGATTGTTGGTTGTTGGTGCAGGAAGAGAAAATAAGACTTATCCCCCTAAATGAGTCTTTGAGGCACAAACACAAATTATTTATTATTAATTTCTATGACTTCGTTCCAAGGACAGTATTATTATATTGCTGCCTTTTTTTGACTGCAGCTGCTTGTTAACTGATGGATCATCATTCTGCTGCCAGTGTTGCTGTGCTGACCACATTTAGGATCAGGTCAATTATCCTCGGGCCTATTCAGGTTCTGTACTATTTATGCAGGTCAGATGTGGTTAGGTTTTAGATCAGGTCCGACATTTTGGACCCAGTAAGACCTCTAAAACACCCACTGATGCTCTGCTTTTATCTCTTTTCCAAGTGTCGTTCCCATATACAGTATTTGTATATGGGACCATAAAATGTACTTGTAGAACCAGCTATAACCTGACAAATACTGGATTTTTGATACTTCTGATAACAATATATTGGCCTGTAGTTGAACATAAAAACATAACATGAACAAACAATCTATCTAGATTCATTTTTTAAAGCATTGATACATGCTAAGTAGGACATTTTAAAGTGGAAAAATCTGTTCTTGTGAGATTTCTTCCATGTTTTCCATGTTTTTTTGAGTGAGTGAGGATGCCATATGCTGTAGAGATTGTTAAGCCCCTTGAGGCAAATATGTGATATTGGGTTATATAAATAGAATTGACTTGACTTGTTACTTATTGGTCCACAAATGCATCAATATGATATATCCGCATAAAGTTAATATCGGCCAGTACATCAGTTTAGCTCTAGTTCAGCCAAGCAGTGTCAAATTAAATCAAATTAAGTTCCATCCATGTTAAAATTCCCATAAAACACAGCAAAGTTGTGTCCCCCTGTTTTATTTAGTGTGAATCACTTTGTTAAAAAAAGAAATCTTTTGCACAACTCAGCAATTATTATTTTTGTCAGTGTTGTATAAAATCCATCGTCCAACCATCTGTTAGTAAGTTCTTTGTCATGATTATTATGGATACTTTGCCTGAGACTAAAAATAAAAAACAATTAAGAACAGTAGTGGGCACGAATAATTTGCATTTATTAATAATTCACAGCACCAAATATTTGTTCTGACTCTCTAAGGTTGTGCAGACTGGATTGGAGAGACATTGGAATTCAATGGTAATGTTCATCATAATATCATTTACTATCATCACAAATCACACATGCACAGATTGAGCAGTCGATGAAGTCAGCAGATTGCATCCCCCCCACCGCTCGTCCTCTCCCCCACCTGCCCTCTGTGTGCCTCAGGATGATTAATTGAAACTCAAGGGGTCTGATACGTAAAACGGCAGAGGTGTCTATCACTTGTGGCAGATAATCAGGGATACTCTTACCGCTGCCAGACAGTGTTCAGAGATCAGGCCATATTTCTAAAGTTACGGACAGGGTTAGAGGTCATTCTCACCTTCCCTGCCAGGGCTGAGAGGCAGCACAGAGTCGACAAGGACTGTAAGTTAATGTATTCCCAGGGGTAGGCTGAAGCTGCCCCAAACCACTGATTAGGTCTCCGTTTTGCATTTTGCCCATTAATGGTGTAACGGATAGAGGGCACACAAATTGACCCCTGTTCACACTCAAAGGCAACTTCAGCTGAAGGCCTTAGACTGGAGCCAGAGGCACAGGCAGAGCAGACCACAGTGCGCCACACTGACCTCTCCAACCAGCATTAAAGTCAAAGTTATTAAGCAGCAGAGAGAGCAGGCTTGTTAATGCGGTTTTAATGGACTTCTGTAACGTGGCAGACTAGAGGACCTGAAAACCGGTTGTTGTGTTCTGCTGTGTTGTAGGGTGGTGTCTGTACACAACAATTAGTACATTATTAGCACTGGTGTGCCAGTGGTCAAAGATACAACCATGTAACTGTAACGTCCCAGCTTTGATTACTTTCTCCTTTCCCCATGTTTCCTGTCTCTCTGTGGTGGAAATTACCTGTGCATTCACCGGTATCTATATCAGTATGTCTTTAGCCCCCCTCCATGTTCCTTCTATGACTGAGCATATGGTGTTCAGCACAGACTGTCATGTTTCTATGTGTTGCTTACAAGCATTAACATGATCATAGTAACAAATAGATAAATGAGCCATGGGGGGATTGCAACGTATCACAATCTTCCACAGTTTAGGTCTGTAAACAGTTCTCTAGATACCTGACTGTGGGGAACAAAAAGCAACAGCAGATGGCTTGAAAACAACTCCTCTGGGTTCATCTAAAGCCACGATCAAGGCGTCTGAACAGACACGCTCTATCCTGGCCTCGGCTGCCTTCACAGCTACCACAGGCAGATGGAGGGTTCAGCCAGGAAGAAAGAAAGCAGCTCTCGTGCTGTTTCTTACATTTTGAACATCTCAGTGTATGCAGCTCGAGATGCTTAACAACTCACTCCGGCTGAATGTAGAGTCAAATCAGTGGTACATACATAATTTTTAATGATGGAAGCCACGTGATTAACCACAGAAACATGAAACAACACTCCACTCTTATAAATAATAACCCCAGCCCTGACAGCGTAGACCAAAAAGAACCGGAGAAGGGCAGAGAGCTAATGCTAATTTGCATATTGTTTGAGGCCAAGCCAAACACAGGACGAGCCTTCCATTATCCCACAAGAGAGAGTTCATTTGTGCCAAGCACACATAACTACAGTAGGTAGGTTAAATAATTAAAATGGGATCTTTTATTTAGAAACAGATTGGCTGCAACACGTTAATCCAGAACTGTCATTCTGCCAACCGGCCGACTCCTCCCAGGCTTCCTAGCAGGCCGAGGGGTAATGTATCCACGCATGCAAAGCGCTGTTAGTGTAGTGCAGAGTTACCATCTTGTTTGTATCATCACTTTTCATACATCATAAACTGCATGACGGCAAAACAGTGTTTGTGTCCTTGCACAAATTAAGATAGATTGGTAAAAACACTCTTCGGTGTGTAGGTAAGCTTTTCCCTGCATTCTTACTAACAGCAATAAATTTAAGGACATAAATCGAAGCTTAGTTATCTGAAAGTCAACAGCAATTACACATTGTGTTGTGAGCGTCATCAAACGAGCATCTGAAACACCCGCTTTTAATGAAGTGGCAGCCTGATGAATAATAGAACACACTGCCTTTGTCTGTCCTTTGGTTTCTGATCGATTTCAAAGGTTAACCCATATTGGAGGGTAAAAGCACTTTGACCCTCCGCATCACACAGAGGGCAGGAGTTTCTAATAACCAATTCAATTATTAACACTTCAGCCTTTTTTGTGCTATACATCATCCCTCTGTCCCCCAGTACTCTCCTCTCAATCACAGGGGTTATAAAGGTGACCAGGGCAGAGATATGGCAATGGGTGCCAAAATAGAGTTATTTAAGGTTCTTCTTTTCTGTTTCATTCTCTCATTCATTTGTACACAGTAATTGTCTATCTGCCCTTGCAGCTCATTTACGTTACCTGCCTCTCTTTGCATTTCTTCTTAGAGCTACAATAATCAGCAGTGAAAGCCATGGCCTGAAAATTCCTGTCTATTGAAGTGTCAGACACCTAGATGAATAGATGTATCCTCTGCCCGCACCTATAATTACCTGCAAGTCATCAAGACTCTTATCCGAAATGGTCCATGACGCCGCTGTAATATTGATGTTAAAAGTTATTCGGGTATATATGGTAACTGCAATAACAGAGATAATGATAGTGACATCCAGGCTCGCATGAATGGATTATACCACCGTCCTCGATGCAAAACACTGTTGGGATTTTATGTATGCTGTTGTTTTTCTGTAGACAGTTCATGCAGAACTTTTTCTATCTTGTTTGTATTTTTACCTGAAACTGTTGAAACTGGTGTTTGACTTTCTGTTCTGATGTTCTGAAGTTATGCACTACTATCATGATAGAAAAAGTTATTTCCCAGCAGCGGCACCATGGCTGTAAAGAAGCCTCCTCCTGTATGGGTTATGTGAAATGCATTTTTATGCATAGTTAAAATTTCAAATTATTAAACCAGAAGCTGTTTTTTTTTTCATCCTTCACTTAACACATGAATGATTTATTACAGTGAGTGTTATATGCATGCCTCAAGTAATCTGCTCATGTAAGGTTTTCTTTTAGTCAGGAGATAATGTTGAACTGCATTGAGGTTGTACATTATGTACAGCATGTACAGTCTTAGTGCTGAAGTTCTGCTCCTACAGCCAGATTACTCACATGTCAGCAAACATGACCTTTTCTTTACCTAATCTTCGGTTATAATGCAATGCCACATGCTAGCACACAGAAGAATGTAAATGCACACAAATGCTAATTCATGTTGGCTTATAACTCGCTACTGTATATACATTTGACTGAAATGAACCTATTTTCTTGAACCACATGCATCTTTAATATCCTCCTGCCGTCATCATTCAAAATCTAAGAAGCAGAGGCTGTGATATTATGAATTTTGCCTACATTTCCCACAAACCAACTCGATAGCTTCTTTTTTTAGACCTTCAGTTCCTCCTAACCGTCCACATCTTTCAAGCTTCACACCTGGTTTTCAGAGTTATTTTATCAGACTTAAAGCAACATTAGGTTATAATTTGTATTTTTTTTATTGTAAACTGATCTTTATGTGTAAAATCAGTGAAGTGCCCCTTTAAAGCAAGACAGAAACATGCAGCAGACATTGTTAAATTACCTGTCTCTCAAATATATAAATGGTTTTGACTGAAAGCAGAGCAGAAAGACTAATAAAATGTAATTGAATAAGTAGATAAATTCTCCATCTTCCTCCTCAGGTTCTTTCTCTGGGTGCAGACGTGCTGCCTGAGTACAAGCTCCAAACGCCACGCATGGACAAGTGGACCATCCTTCACTACAGTCCTTTCAAAGCAGTGTGGGACTGGCTGATCCTGCTGCTGGTCATCTACACGGCCATTTTCACACCCTACTCTGCTGCCTTCCTCCTCAACGACATCGAGGAGCAGAGGAGGCGGGAGTGCGGCTACTCCTGCTCACCCCTCAACGTAGTGGACCTGATCGTGGACATTATGTTCATTGTGGACATCCTTATAAACTTCAGGACCACATATGTCAACATCAACGAGGAGGTGGTCAGCCACCCGGCCAAGATCGCCATCCACTACTTTAAAGGCTGGTTCCTCATAGACATGGTGGCCGCCATCCCATTCGACCTGCTCATCTTTGGCTCAGGATCAGATGAGGTAAGGGGTGGGGGGGAGAGTAATCAGTCAGTATCATCAGTTTGGGGATAATGATACCTTGATTATGAGGTAGGCTGTTTGAATCTCAATCAACAAATCAATCAGCCTGTTCATCAATTTGAAATTTCTTACAAGAAAAAGAAAGACACAGAAATAGACAATAAGAGAAAATGTTACATCAGTGTGCAAAGTGGGAAAAACTGCACTTTTTATACCTTCAACAATAATTAAATGGTATTAAATAGAAATCCATAAAGTTACAGTCACAAATAACAAAGATCAACAATTAAACAACATTAACTCACTGCATCCTGTGGGGAGTTTTAATAACCATCAAATAACCAACCAATAACCATCTGAAGTTAAATACCACCGTAGTGCCATAAATGAAAGCAGAATTTAAAATGCGGTCTAGTTTTTTGCATGCTGTAATCGGTCCTTGTTTGTTTTACATGCAAAAACAATGGCTGACAATCTGTCAACAAAATAGTTGCCTGCTTAATCTTCATATCACTACATAATCCTGGAAGAAGAATATTATATTAGGGTTGAGCGAATACTTGGCTGAAATGAGTATTCGGTACAGATAATGCACTTTAGTATCATGTGACTAGTAAAATGTGACAATATCTGTTTTCTAATACAGTAAATATATCAAGTTTTATAAAAGAATTGGTTCTGTAATCAGTTCTCTTACTATTCTGATCAACATTGCTTTGAAGTTCAATTCTGAGGCTGTTTTCTAATAAAAAATAGCAACTTCTGATAGTCCAGCCCATGTCCGCCTTAAGCCCCACCCATTCCGAGTATGGATGCAAATAATTTAGTTGGTTGAACAGATACAGATACAGATAACGGTGTACTCGCTCATCCCTATATATCTAAAGAAAGAGCGCTCCAGGCGGTGCTTTGGCTACAGTTATTAGAGAAAAGATGACACGCTGACTGCTTTAGATGGACACACAGGGGCAGGACCGGCAGGAACGGACGGTCCTGATGGAGTTATTAGCGGACAAAGACGTTTAATTGATCTATGATTTTTTTACAGAACTGTGTTAACTGTTTTCAGGGTGTTAGTATTCAACACGTCTGTGTTCTACAATAGAAACTGTAAAATAATGAATTATACTGACCCATTTGATGTGGACATAAGCACAGGTTTCTGTGAACAGTCTGGTGCTTGTTGCACAAAATGTAACCAGTGGATCTGCCGTGCACAATTGTGGCTTGACATGTTCAACATCACTTCAGTTAGAGACTACAGATGGAACAGATATCTGCTGGCTTCAGACGGCTGTAAAGGCTGAGTGTCAGCACATTGGATTCAGTATAGACTGCTGTGGGTTACAGCTCTCAATCACTCATTGATCTTTATTCTGTCAACAAAATGAAACTGTTTATTTTGGCGTCATGTATCTTAATACTTCTTTTAAAGAAGCAAAAATTCAAGAGCACCTTTTCACTCCCTGGTCACTCCTGTGTCATGGCGTGAGGCCACAGCTCCAGTAGTCATGTTCCTGAGCACATTTCTCCAATGTTTAGACCAATAAACCAATTTGATGCTCAGCTGTCAGATCTGCTTCCCTCTACTCTCTCTCCATCAGAGCCAGACTGGAAGAGCCTGAGGCGATCCAAATGAGTTAAAAAGATCTCAGCCTCCCTAAACACTCTGCCTGCGAGGAGCTATTTGTTTATGTATGGCACCTATCTTTTGCTTTAGTTTAAAAAAGCAAGCAGAAGAGAAGCACATACATCTACTAAAATGTTTTCAAATGCCAGATGCCAGGATGCATGATGTAACACCCCCCAAACACACACACACAAAAAACATCCCAGATTGATGTTGATGTGTGTGTTGCCCATAATGTCAGTCAGTTGGTTTGCCGAGTCATTATTTACCATTAGGTGTGTGTTCCTGTGAGGGAGTCCGTGGCCAGTGGCTGGCAGTGATTGGCAGGTGGAGAAAAAAGAGCAGACAGCTGAGCGACACCACGGCACGATGTATGTCCTCGTCATACAGCAAGATGACTGATGCTGTGACAGAATGTGTGTTCCCGTTACAGCTTGCGTCCAAAGCACACAGTGACAGGACAAGTAGAACGACAGAATGTTGTATTTTTAGCTCTTCCAATCACCAGAAGAAACTGAAAATAACACATCCATGTACAGTTTTAGCTCTTGTCTTTAAGATGTGTTATTTTAGCTCTTTGTGCAGAGACAGGGACTATTTTTAGACATAATCTCGTGCACCTTTGTTGCCTGGAAACCATCTCTGACAATAAGTTAAGATTTTTTTTGCTGATTTCATTAGAAACATGGCAGGTTGAAATCTCCCGTGAGAGGTTTTTTTTTTCAGTGTGCAAATGAGAAGAAATTGTGTGGTGCTGAATTTACCTACAGGAGTAATTTGAGCTCCTGCATCATTTTCATATCAACGTCCTGTTGTGGTTTGATGCTATTATTTGCCTATCATGTCCATTTTCACGTGTATATAGTGTTCACATTTCTGGTAATTGCAAATTATGGAGGCTTAGTGTGAAAGTCTGCTCTGAGCCAAAATTTGAATATTATTTTCCATTAATACTTGGCGGGCTCGAGTAGATTTGTGCACGTAAACAAGTGCAATAAATAGCTCTGAACTAAGCCAATACTTCTTACCCTGAATGTCTAAGGGCATGGGTGATTTTACTTTAATATGAGCTTTAATATGAACTTGCTTCAGCAGTCCTAAACACTCACAATCTCTCTCAGTGCTCAGTAATTAACATAAACCACAATCCACAGTGCTTTTATTTGTTGTCAATGAAGCAGTTCTAGAAAGTTGATCATGTCAATGATGATTACTGATTGGATCCCATCCTCGGGCTCACACAACAGCTCTACAATAAGTTTCCATGCAAATTAAACAAGCTTTGTTAAATGAATCAACCCCCTTGTCAGATTGTGAAATGTGCATTGCCTTTTTGCCTTTGGTTAAAAGCAGACTGTACAGAAATGCACTCCAGTTTTTTTAACTTCTGCTAAACAAAGCAGAAAGAGGAGGCAGGTTCATTGTTAACAAGCAGCCCCCGCAGTCTCACTTTTTCCCTGCTTCAATTGTCCACACAGCCAGAATCGACAGTTTAAATTGAATTTAGACAATAATTTAGTTGTGCAAAGTCTCTGTTGTTTTTTTTAATTAGCTGAATAAGCAAAACAATATTGTTGACTCGTGACCTGTTCAGAGAATATGACCATGTGGGAAATTCTGACAGCAAATGGGCTGCAAGAGTTAGGAACATGGTTAAAGCTGCAGTAATCAATATTTTTTATATCTACAATGTATCACAAGACAGCGCGGATGTGAAAGGTGTCGCTCGCAGTGATGAACCCACGGAGATTTATCACCAACTCTGCAGTTCCCCTCAGCTCTACGGAGCTTCATAACAACTTTACTGCTTTGGTTCAGCCTCGCTGCTCTTGTCAGCGTTGTTTCTGCTGCAGCAGGCGGCTGTTTTCAGTGAAAGAGTTCTGCAATATTAGCAGCAGACAGACACAGTCAGAGATTAGCTGCTGATCATAGTGGAGCATTTAGCAGCTAGTCAGATATTTCCCTCAGGAGTTTGTGGAGAGCCAAGCAGAGCTAAAAGAAGAGTAAATATTGGACTTGTATTCATCAGGTGGACACAATCACGACTCTAAATGAATGCTAATGTTGCTCCGTAACAGCTGGATGTGTATTTCATACTATGTTGTGTCCATGTACACAGAGTGAAAAGGTTACATCACAACCTTGGTTGACTCTTGGTGTTCTAAAGTGGCCAGGCGAGCCTAGAAAGTCACAGTGGCAGATGGCCAAAGGGATATTCGGCGGATATGTTTTATACAGCTGGTTGCTAATGGGAGCTTTAGCTTCACTCCTCAGCCCCAAACGCCTCCGACTTACTGTAAGCCCAGATTTTAATCAACATTACACTGTGTGGGCCACATAATACAACATGTGCTGTGTCATCTGTACAGGTCATTCAGACAGACTGAGTAGCACTACACCTTAGGCAGTGCATGTTCACAGGCGACGCTCACTGGATAATTTAGGGCTCATCTGTTTCTATATATGATTCATTCACTGTTCGCTCAGTTGTCAGTGAAAGGGTGCGCTGGCCGGATGCACAGCAGTGAATGATGGCGGTGATTTAGGGGTTAGATTGGGAGGACGGAGGCTCTCTAATGGAGCCATCAAAAGCAGCTACAGCACTCTTCCTCACCATGACGGAGACGCACTCTCCCTCATGAATCATTTTCCTTCCAAAAAAAAAAAAAAACCACCACCCTTCCTGCTTTTAATACGTGGAATGTCATATTTACTCTCACCTGTACAAGAGACCCAAATAAGCAAGTATAGACGTGAGGAAGCACAATTACTGCCGGAGACTGCGGGTAATGATTTCCCCAAGGATATTAGGATAATTGTCAGGCGCGAACGGGAGTGGTAGGACCTATTAGCGTTCTCTAAGTCTCACTTATTGTGTTTACAGATTGCACGACACTAATATATCGGGACTTGTGTCATGGCTGTATGCTGGTCCCCTCTCCCCAACTCCCCCTCCCATAGTCTGTGTTAATTTAGTCCGGCTAGAAAATTGAGACGGGAGGATTAAGTGCTTTGAATTAAACAGAACAGAAGGCAGGGTGTGTACATTGTAATGTATGCGTGCAAATCTGTTTGTGTCTGTATCTGTGTGTATGCGTGTGTGTGATGGGTTGTCATCTCTCCATTGACTGGCTTTGACAAAGGTTCCAAGCTGCTAGTATTTATGTTTTTTTAGAGAGTTTCATCATCGGCCAGATGAATGAATCCCCAAACTCTCCCTCTCAGCCTGCATGCCAGCCTGTTCCACTAAATGTTCTATACTGAATTTCATGATTTGCAGCCATCTTAGTCAGTGAAGTTATGTTGACACTGAAGGATGCTGAGACCTTGAATGATCCTTTTACACCAGCAGAAATGATCCACTATCTAGTCTGTGTGTCTAGTATGTGTGGTGTTAGAATAAGATTAAGCATTCCTAAGCTACATATGTTTTTGTGTCTCTAATCCTGAGCCTATCGTCCTCATGACCCTGATCTCAACCCTTGACTCTGGAAGCAGATAAACAACTTGTTCACTTTGATTACTGGAAAAAGAGCATTATAGGTGTCAAGTCACATATTTCTAGTTTGAACAGTTTGAAGCCCAAAGAGGTAAAATTGTCCAATATTTAGTTTTTTCTCCCATTAATCATCTCATGACCCCTCAGATTTATCTTGTGACCCTTAGTAGGGGCCCGAACCACTGGACCTAACTACCAAACTGTTTGTCAAGTAGGTAAAACTAGCTCCAGCTTGAAGAGCTTCAACAGTAAAAAGCTGCTTACACATTGATGCTTTAGTGTTATCAGTCGTAGGAAACCTTTTACTGCAGAACCAGCACTTTTACTTTTGATACTTATGTATATTTTGCCCATAATACCTTTGTACTTTAACCTAATGCAGGACTTTTACTCGTAATGGAGTATTTTTACTTTGTTGTACTCATACTTGATTGATGATGAGTGTTTCTTCCAACACAGTCAAATAGTACAATTTCTGATTGTTTTATTCATAAGTTGAAATTAATAGAGCCAAGAAGCAACAAACCAAAGACCCTGACTAGAAATAAGATTTTTATATAAAATAAACTACCCAAATTAAAATACTAACTCCACAACTACACAAACAACAAGATTAAACTATTACCTTAAATTGAATAACATAACCACTACCTTTCTGACATCAAGATGGCAACAATATGATGTACAGGAGAGATGTATGGATCATGTCCTGACACAAATAACTTGCAGTACAAATAATCTGGGTGTAAACAGGAAGCAGAAAATGTCCAAGAAGGACAGAAGAGCTCCCTATATCTCCAGATGGACTCCAGGTCCCCAGATTCATCAGCCGATACCACAAGGGAAGGAGGAAGCCGAGGCCCATAAAAGCCTTTGGGACAACACAGCAGATATTAGCATATTTTAACCTTCACTGACTAAATCCTGTATATTTTTCTGTTTATTTTTCAGACCACCACTCTGATTGGTCTTCTAAAGACGGCCCGTCTCCTACGGCTGGTACGAGTCGCCCGTAAACTGGACCGCTATTCAGAGTACGGTGCTGCCGTCCTCATGCTGCTCATGTGCATCTTTGCCCTCATCGCCCATTGGTTGGCCTGCATCTGGTACGCCATTGGCAACGTGGAGAAACCTTACCTGGAGCATAAGATTGGTTGGCTGGACAACCTGGGGGTGTCGATAGGTGATCATCTTCTGTTTTTAGTTCTGTTTTTAAAGAAAGCCTTTGGGTCAACATTTTCGATGCCAAACACATATTTTGTCATTTCTGTATTGTTATTCATTATAGGAAAAAAATACAACTACAGTGACCCCAGCTCAGGCCCCTCCATCAAAGATAAGTACGTCACAGCGCTTTACTTCACCTTCAGCAGTCTGACCAGTGTGGGCTTTGGGAATGTCTCCCCCAACACCAACTCTGAGAAGATCTTTTCCATCTGCGTCATGCTCATTGGATGTGAGTCCCAGTACATAATGTATTTCAATCCTGTAATTACTAAAACCCTCTATGACCTTATCTATAACCAAGACCTTTTACAGATAAACACACTGATTCAAGCAATTAAATATGAGGATCTAATCAATAAGTAAACATTTCATTTTAAATGTGCTATTATCACCATAATACAGTTACGATTTAGTACATTCCCTGTGCATGAAAGCTTTAAAATTACATCAGGTAGGTATTTTGTTGAGAAAGGAAGCAGCAGCAGTTTGTTTGTAATAAACAGAAGAGGAAGTACAGTGTGTACTGTGTATGAGCAGCCTAAGCCACCACGGCTCAACGGTCCCCTGTATTGGCTTCTTTCCCAGCTCTGATGTACGCCAGTATCTTTGGGAACGTGTCCGCCATCATCCAGAGGTTGTATTCAGGTACGGCCAGGTATCACCTCCAGATGCTACGGGTCAAGGAGTTCATCCGCTTCCACCAGATCCCCAACCCGCTGAGGCAGAGGCTAGAGGAGTACTTCCAACACGCCTGGACGTACACCAATGGAATCGACATGAATATGGTACGAGAGGGAGTGTGTGCACCAGTGGGTCTTTTGATTAGCTTGTGTGGTATTTATTTTTACACAATGGTAATACAATTTAAGTTTATTGTTGCTTTCTTCTGTTGCTTCTCCTCTCTTTCCAATCATTTGTGCGAGTTTGATGTTTTGAACCATTTCTGCCCAGTCCCCCCCCGGAAAAAATGCTCTTACCACATCGTGAAGCGATCTTGCTTTGTCACTGGCATAGTATAATGTCTGCATCCCGATTATACTGTGCAATGTTCAGTCATAGCCACAAGTGAAATGAAAGCCACAGTTACTGCTTCTACATACGGTAACTCTGACTTTCCTCGTCATGATACTGTTCATGGTACTTATATAAGTTTGTCTTTTCCATGTCTGCCTCATATCAAATGGAATGACCCCACCACTCTGGTAAGAGCAGGAGGTACATGTGTGAACACAACTAATGTTGATATGAATGTTCCTCAGTGGTAGAGCTTCATCTAGCTGTGTCTGATACCAGTAGTATTGTTAGCCTTTAGCTTTGTGTGCAGATAGCGTTAAAGTTTTAATATGCAGTTGTTTAATTTTTGTCCCAAACATGCATGTTATTGGAGGACATGTTCCCTCGGTGTCTTATCTGTACATACATGAACACATACTGTAAACGGCTGCTCTGATGCCACATCATAGATGGATTTACAGTATCTACTTATGCATGCCAGTTACTGCAGACGGCACACAGGGCACTGAAAGTTTCTCCCAGGCCACATTAATTGTCCATTACCAACAGACTTGCACGTGGCCTGCCTCGAGGTCCCTATTTGCATGAAATCTGTGTATTCAAACACACACCATGATATTCATCTGGTACCAGAGACAGAGTGAATCACGCCTGTGAGAGTGGGCACAGCCTAGCCGGGCACTGCCAGGTTTCCCTCCCACTGTGGGAGGCTTGGCTGCACGCTCCGCGGTGGCACCTGCGCTTGCCAAATGTTGTTCAGTCTTTCCTTTCCAAATCTACTGATCAGTTTTTTGTTCCGAGCAAACAAAAAGCCCGTCAGAGCCAGAAAACCAGTATAGGCTACATTTCTTTTTGCTGTGCTCGTGTCATTAGCACATTGTATTTTATGTGTGAATGACAAATATAAGAAACTTGTTTTTTCTTGTTTCAACTGTCCCTTTTGTGTCCTAGAAGCCCCTTTTCTCGCCTTCCAGTGTCTGTTATGGTGTTAAAGTTTGAAAATGTGGTCTTTCCAGTCAGTTCACGTTGTCCAGGGATCATTAGTTGTTTTGTCAGTGGTCAGTGTATCTTTGTCTTTAAAGGGTAAGTGTATTATAAGTTTTATAATTATTATTTATGTATCAGAGAGTCCTCGCAAACAAATGTTAAATTAACAGAAAATGTTCAAATTAATGTTAAAATGACATTTTCAAATATTTCTCGTTGTATTTTCAACAGTCTCCCAGGCTAACTCGGATGGGTAGGAATCCTTGACTGATCATCTGTAATATTTTTTGCTGTTTTGTTAACTACGTAGCAGATTATGGTGAACAGTATTAAGGAATGTTTCAATACAGACATTCTGTGAGACAATATTGAATATTGTCTCTGCTTTTTGGTTCCTACATGTACAGTTCATAGATTAGTTTCATAATCACAGTCCATAAAGGCAGTGAAGGCAGTTAAAAACGTATATAAATGTGCCAAAGTATCACAAACAGAGAGAAGACACAACAAATATTGAACCTGTGTTTTGAGTTTGTCATTTACCTGCAGCTTCTCAGTCCTTTAAATGTTCTGTCTTGTCTCTCGTCTTCTGCTAAAGCTGCTGTGAAGGCTCAGTGAAAGGCTATTTCTACTGCAGGGTATAATAGGTTTTGAGAAGAAGGAAAGAACACAAGTGGCAATTGTATCAAATTTCTCTGGAAATCTGGTCAATTTGACCTGCATCTTGACCCCGAACCAAAATTCAAGACACGTTTTAAATCTCTGCACCAAAAAAAAAAAAAACACTTCCACATCACATCTGACCGCAATCTTGTCTGCTTTGACCCGTGTTTCACACTCAGGTCCTGAAGGGTTTCCCAGAGTGCCTGCAGGCGGATATCTGCCTCCACCTCAACAAGAACCTCCTACAGGGCTGTAAGGCGTTTGAAGGAGCCTCAAAGGGCTGCCTCCGGGCCCTGGCTATGAGGTTCAAGACCACCCATGCGCCCCCTGGAGACACCTTAGTCCACTCTGGAGACGTGCTCACCGCGCTCTACTTTGTCTCCCGCGGCTCCATTGAAATCCTCAAGGATGATGTTGTAGTGGCCATCCTGGGTAGGTCTGCTATTCACCTCAACCCTGACATTAGACCTCAGATACATCCATGTATTATGCTACTGTAAGCTAAGCACGCTACGTACCTTTCACTGCAGCTCAGAGATTTTTAAAAAAAGGCTTACATTAGATTCTCTGTGTCTGAGGATATCAGATCTGACAATGCAAAGAATGCCAGTGCGTAGGACGATGCAAGTGCACACTTGTGATGTAGAAGCTTTGTGACATTCCTGTACACAGAACGTCTAAACATTTCTAATTAGCCCAGTCAGGTCTGCTGTTGATCCAGTACGGATTTTAAAAACACTTCAAAAACAACCACAAAAGAGCACGTCTGATAGTCCTGTCACTCCAGCGTGGTTAACTTTACCTGAACTGGCCTCCATTAGTGTAGACGTGGGTGGGCCAGCTAAATGAAGATGGCTCTGTTGTACTGTGATATGGCTGGGTTGGCAGTTGAGATCCCTGTTGGGTATGTTGTAATAACTTACTTCAAAGAACATTGTGATTGCTGCCTCACAGTCGTGCCTCAGAAGAAGGGAGAGGACAGAAAAGAGTGGGGGAGGACACATGGTGGGACGAGGGTAGCAGAAGATCTGTATTGATGAAAAAAAAGAGAGCATGATTGCTTTCAAATAGAGATGGATGACAATAGAAGCAGGGAGGGATGGAGAGCTGAGCATGTGGGCAGGGTGGAAGGAAAAGACAAGTGATGGGAAAGAAAGAACAGGAGAGTAAAAGAAAGGAGGCAGATTGAGGAATTCAGGAGAGAAATTAAGTGCCAGAGGGAGACAGGAAGTTGGTGAGAGTTGCATGTGGTTGTCAGCGTGATGTGATGCAGTGCTTGATGACAGGAACCACTGAGCCGCACGGTTTTATTGACAGCATCCAAATGTAATCACGGTAAATCTCATCTCCTCTCCTGTTCCCTCCTCTGCTCTCACCCCTGTGGTCGGCAGGTGTATCCTACTGAGCCTTTATGCATTTGTTTCTCTATTAATGAGTGTTTTCATGCAGCCGGTAAGGTTTGGAGGAAACCGGTGACACAATAGGGTCACGATGAGCAAGAAGCATGGATGGTGAAGTTGTAGGTTACACACAACTCAGCACATTTGCTCTGCTACAGCAAGAGAACTGCTGATTTCTTCATTTTCACAACATCGTACCCATACACCACTGTCACATGGTCATGTATTACGCTACATTACACTACACATGAAAATGCTGGGGCTTACACTAATACTATGATCACAATGTTAGGTCGAAATAATTCATTGTCAAATAGCTCAATTTGCGACGCTGACAACAACTGTGACCTTCTGCAAACACCAACAAAATGAATACACAGCAGTGTTTGACGTTTTCATAATTTATAAGACCTGATAAGATTTTATGCCTGTGCAGAAGCCCAAAGTGGTCAAACAAATTATTAAAATGTAACTTATTATTATGAAATGCTATTTCATTGTTTTCATAATAACTAAGTATTAGTCATTTTCATTTAATTCTTGACATTTTATTTCAAATGTCAGTATGGTTTCCTCCTCCAACAGTGTGCAACAAGCTTTGAGGTACATTATCTCTTAAACACAGCTGGATTAAAAAGGCCGGCAGTGCACAACAGGGTGTTCAACGCACATTTCTGTTTAAATAAACATTTTGCTACGTTTTGTCTGGGTTGAAAATAAGAATGAAGAAATAAAATAATGATTTGTGTTTTAATAGTTTTACAAACTATAGTTTAGTTGATGTATTTTACACTATTTTATGTAACATTTATTTGATAATTATGTATTTATTTATTCATATTGAAACTGTGGGGGCTCCACAATCGCTGACCTCAGACAGATTCTCCACTGAAGCGAAGATGGTAAACCCCGTGGCCCTTCCACGTAGGTCATTACTCACTAAACAGACACAGGAATGTGGCCTGTGTGACTTCCATGCGGGCTGACTGGCATTGTGTAAATCCTTTTTTAGATGACTGTGATGCCCTTTAGCCTCTTTAACATTCTCACGCTTCTCTGCCAGGTGGCCCTTCTCTTTATAGGTCATCACATACTGCACCGCATACTGCACATTTACATACAGCCGACTTAAATAAACTCCAAAGTCTCCTGCGGACGTTGTTCTTTAAGAAGCCAAGAATAGATAGGAGCTTATGTCCTCCAGTTAGCTAATTGGAGTTGCTCATTTATATTTCATTGCCTGTTTCTTTCTCAGGTAAGAACGACATTTTCGGCGAGATGATCCACCTGTACACAAAGCCAGGGAAGTCCTGCGCAGATGTGCGGGCGCTGAGCTACTGCGACCTGCACACCATTCAGAGGGAGGAGATTGTGGAAGTGCTGGACATGTATCCAGAGTTCGCCGACCACTTCCTCACAAACTTGGAGCTGACCTTTGACCTCCGGGATGAAAACTCCAAGGTAATTAGTATTGCAGGTGCCACCGCCAGTTCCTGCCAGCAGTAAGCACAAGACTTTAATGTAAAATCAATCTGCTTTACTTTACAGTAAGAAAGCTCTGAGTAGAAAGACCATTAAATTGAATTAAACAATCTATTTCTTGTACAATATTTCTGCCATGTCCATTTAAATTGGATGAATGGCTTTTTTATTAATTCTCTGTAGTGCTTCAATTTATCCATGGTTGTAGGAATGAAAGCATGAGGGCTAATTTATACATTTACTGGAAGACGAGTCAGAGATAGAGAGTATTAGTCGAGCACTAAGGATAAAGTGGACAGAGACATGATGTAGGCTGTAATTATGATGAACCGAGTGTATTGGAAATGGACATGTAAGCAAGGCCTGTGGCATTATGTAAACAGGAATCCTCATTAGTCAGTTGTTTTATTTATCTTTTAACACAGAGCGGGAAGTGCACTCTGTTTTGGCCTTTTGTTATTTATTCAGAGAATTAGAAAGAAGAGACAGAGGAGAGACATGAGAAGGTTCTGGTAGGATTACATCAAAAACAGGAGATACTTGGTGCTCCAACAAGACTGGCAAGAGTTTATCTTCCTTCCTTAAGGAAATGTTAGGTTAGAATGGAGAAAGTGTTTTGATCTAAGACCAGCAGAGGTGACTGTGGCTCTGGCACAAGTCACCTTGTAAAGAAGTGGTTGACTTCTTTATGGCACATGCGCATTAGTATGTGTCATTATATTTGACATGGTTCAATTTGATCATGTTTTGTCCCATTACAGACGAGCAATCAAGGAACTGATTCTAATGTGGATGACAGCGAGTGTCCAAGACGAGTGTCCTACAGAAGGAAATCCTCCACAGGTCAGCTTGAGACTACTACAACACTACTACTGTACTTTAAAATCATAAAAGCATGTCTAGGTTTTAAATTAAAGCCCCACAGTCTGTTCTGGTTTTATGAACACTGACTCTTAGCTGCTTCATTTATTCAGTCGAATAACATGTCAGTCCCTCTGCAGCTTCATTCTCTTGTGTAATACTCCACTGATCCTCCGTGCACAGGTGTAGGGGCAATGATTTCATTACAGTGGCCATGACTACCAGTGATTGACAGACATGTGAACCACCTGTCAAATTGAATTCATTGTAACACAGAAATTAAACACATTTTTACCGGATTAATAATACATATTAGATCTTAAGTATAAAAACACCATTGAGGTCAAAGTAAAATGTGTCTTAACATTATCTCTATATAGACAGTTATCTAAGTACTGTATGACTAGCATGAGTGTATATTTTAACAGTTAATTAGTATTTCATGTTGTAAATTGGTCACATTAGATCTTCAAATAAGACACAGCAGCATTTGCTTCGTAATGCATTTCAGGAATAAAACATGAACCACTGTTTTGGCTTTTTTTATTTGGAAAGGAAGCGGTGAGCTATCACCCGTCAGTCTGATGTGTAGTAGCAGAAGAAGCTTTTTCATACAATATACAACAGCTACTGCTTTACTCACGTTCCTGCTTTAACATTAAACGTTATTTCTTAATGACCATTTAAAATCATTTATTTGTTGGAGAGGGTTTAATTAAAACGAGAAGTTGTGCTGAATATTGAGAGTTATCTGGATTTGTTTTATAATTTAGTTGTTGATTTCTGCATGGCTGTGTTACAGCCTGTCTCCTTCCTCCTTTTACGTCATCTGATTTCTATATAAAATCCACCATATCGTCAAAAGGACGTCAAGAATCCAAAGTTGGTATCAGATGCTTGTTGGCATTCAATTCTTATTAATTAATTGGTTTATTCACAAAAAATGAATCAACAATCTATCAATCAGAAATTAAAATATTCACTTATTCCATCTTCTCCAGTGTGACAGTATTCTGCTTTGTAACATATTAAATGGAGTATCTTTGGCTTTTAGCCAAATAAGCATTACTGTACACAGTATTTCACTCAAGGTTCTTGGTTAAACTAGGCTGCTGTAAGTTTACACATATTATTAAATTAAAAAATATCTTGCTGTTGGTACTGAAACTCAGGTAAACTCAGCCCTGCTAAATATAGATCTTAATAAAGTGTGAAAGCTGCAAAGATGATTTATTCTACATTGAGTGTGATTATTTGTATGATTCTGGCTTTGGTATTACTCATTTTCCTTCTGATATTTGAAATTTGACTGATTCACATGCCTGTGTCAATTATCAAAAGACACTCCCACTTCTTATGAACTAATTGCCTACACCTGTGCACAGGGACTAGGAGGAGCAAAGATAATATAAGACTCTCCTCTGTTAAGGGACTGTTTAGTGGGATCTTCCATTTTAATGACTTGATCCACAATTGTTTTGTGGCTATTAATTCACATTTGAGAGATTCTGTGTCCTCATCACAGGGCAGATGCTATCTTTACTCTCTATACTTTGATGCCTTCTGACAGTGTTTGACTTATATAATGAAGCTTTAAAGCTTTACTCCCTCATTCTCAGTTTTCTATATTCAAGGTCTGCCAGTGCTCACACTGGCTTATTAGTCAAAGTGATGGTTACGTCTTAAAGCAAGATTACTAGTTAAACCGGGCTTACTTTGGTAAATCAGGAAATTGTTTCATAAAGATGGTTTAAATAAGTTTGAGCTAAGTTTTGACCAGGTTTCAGGCCAAAAACAACATTACAGTCAATTGAAGCACAATGTTCCTCCCCAAAGGTTCCTCTTTACTGCTGCACTATTAACACAAACTGTTTACAGTACATGGGATGCACTTGTTTTGTACTGAATTCATATGTTTTAGGAGGCAATCTGCACTGTATTCTAGTCAACATGTGTGCTTTTTAAATGCACTGCAATTACAATAAAGCATTTTCCGTTTGGCCACAATTAAAAACACAAGAGGGGTGCTCAGTCAATCTGAAGGTATTTAAAGCAGCATATCACCATATGGAGGCTGTTATGTCACTTATCTAAATGATAGAGAACCTTTATTTCTAAATACAGCTAGTTATTGCTAATTATTTTCTTTCTATAAATTAAATCACCTGGCTTGGGTCCTGTTTCAAAGTTGGTCATTGACAAGTTGCATCTTATACATCTTACGTGATCCTTAAGACTTATTATATGAAGAAAATTACTCACATGGGACTTAAAAGTCTATTTTTATTGAAGTCTGAGCTCATTGCTGCACATTCTGGTTAGAAAATGTCTTCAGATCAGTTACATTATAAATAAACACAGCGGCCTCCCTGCTGCCAGACCGTAGAGCAGCTTTCAAGATGACAGTATGCAGCATGTCTGAGTGAGAGCGACCCGCACCGTGGGAACAGTTGTAATTTAACTTAACAGCCAGGAGACTTGGGACTCTGAGACACAGCCTCCACACAGCAGCACTCAGCATTTTGGCTTCGATTCAGGCAAATCTAATTGGTCACCATGGATACAGGCTGTCTGAATACAGTATCACCATCTCCCAGTACAACACAAGTGAGGACAGAGAATGTATCAGTCCATTTCACAGTCTAGTATCCTGCCGCCATCCGTCAGGTGTGAAGATGAAGTGAACTGGAGCAGAACTAATTTAATCATACTTGACTTGTAAACACACATTTAGAGCGACTGTCAATTGTATAACGTGTTCCAAGGCTCACTGTTAAATTCTCCTTTAACATTGTTTGTCCTCAGTTTAACCCCAGAGCAAAACACTCTGCTACCTGTTGTCAAAGATAATGAGACAAACCCCGACATCCCCAGAGCAAGTCTAAGTGGAGAAGTCAGTGTACCCCCAACAGATCTCCTGATTACCATTTCTCCCCGTAGGCTCACACAACAAGGAGCCAACGGCCACCTACTGCAACACCAAGATCTACGCCTCCGCAGCTGCCGAGGAGAGGAGGGAGTCCGCCGAGGAGGGAGAAGACGAGGAGGACGAGGAAGAGGAGGAAGGCAGGGAGGAGGAGGAAGAACAGAGGCCCTTGTGTTCTGGTGTGCTGGGCTACCCGGTGGTTAGGGACCACACCCTGAGTCTTGGGCTGAGCAGCACTCCAGACGCACAAGCTGGAGACAACACGCAGAACCAGGCTTATAAAGGTGATGACAGAAACATCCACCTCATTTATTCTTACAGTGGTTTTCATTTTGCTTTTATTTGGTAACAGATTATTTATTTTTGGGCTCAAGAAAGACGCCTTTTTCTCCTCCATCATTCAATTTAAAAAATCTGATTTCTATTTTTGCCCCAACATAAAAAAACTGCAGATTTTAAACAAGCAAAATAACACTGAGGAGACAGTTTTAATTACATCTTTGTTAAACGAACGACTGGCATTTTTAAACCAACCTGAAATTTTCTATAAATCTGTGAGCTTGTCCTCTAAAGTTTTACTCCAGAATGGTAATTGGCTCAGAAGTTAATTTAGAAAAGCCCAAAAAATCCCTAAGCCCCAGAGGAGGAATGTCACACCTATTAAAAATCCAAACAAGGATTATGTGTCATTATGGTGAAACCTAAAACCCACTCAGTAATAAAACGTAAGAGGATTATATCCTGCAACCGGTCCGGGGTCACCCCCCTTTTGATCGTAGGTCATGACCAAATAAAGGATTTGCAGAAAACATTAGGTACAATCATGTTATTGGCATCGCTGTCTCTGGTGAGTCAGGTCACATATCAATCTTTATAGGAAATCTGAATGGGTGGTTTCAATCATTCAAGCTACTGTCAAACTAAGACACTGTACAATCATCCAGACAAATGAAGTTAAGGGGTATAAAATCCTCCTGTGGAGCAGCAGGCCTGACTGAGCAGCTTCAGCACCAAGAGCTGCGTCTGGGATTGAGATCCCCAGCGAGCTCCGGGAGAAATCCTCACTTTCACCGTCTGCCTGCTACTACATGTTGAGCAAACACTCCAGTGTGTGTCTGCGGGCCGACCTCACATGACCTCCCGTCGGAAGAAGCAACTGCGCTGACAGCTTAAACCCCCATAAAACCATCCAGTGTGAACAAAAGCTCCTGCACGCACGCACACACACACACACACACACACACACACACACACACAGGTGCTCCCTGTATTTTTACTGCCAAGTTGAACTCAGCGTGAATCCTCACTGCGATGGGGAAACAGTGTCAGCGTGTTGATTTGAAAGTAATATCCCATAATTCAGCTGTTGCAGCCATAAGAGGATTTCTGCCAGAACAGAGAGCAGAGTGACGCCTATAAACAACATACAGAAAAGCTCAACTGCAAAAGCAAGGAAGGAAGAAAAATCCCCCCGAGGGTGTGATTGTCAACCAGGGTCAGACGTGTGTTTTCCTCTGCGGGATAGATGTTAGGATTCAGGAGGCGGTGAGCTCATCAGAGCTTAGTAAAAGCTAAATGATGAGAAGGCACAACACAGGAAGATGCTTCCCCCGAGGCACTGTTCTAATAACACAGATCATTTACCGTGTGTGTGTGTGTGTGTGTGTGTGTGTGTGTGTGTGTGGTGTCTTTGTGTGTCTTTGTGTGTGTGTGTGTGGGTCTGTGTGTACGTCTGTTTGCACACCCGTCTCTCCCTCCAGAGCTCCATGCAGAGGAGTGGGTGTGTCAGCGTCCCGACGAGGGTGCCGTGGAGTCAGCCCAGTGTCAGGAGACGCCCGCCGGGGAGGAAGACAGTGACACAGACCTCACCTACGGAGAGGTGGAGCAACGGCTGGACCTGCTGCAGCAGCACCTCAACAGGTGGGGAGAGGAAATGGTCACGTAAAACCAAAACGCTTTCATTTAAACCTGGAGTGAGTAAGTAGCTTGAGTGGAAACGCTGTATACCACAGGTTACTTAGACGACAGTGTAAAGATGATATTTCCCCACATGGCCTCTGACTGTGAGGATGGAGAAGCTGATGATCTGTGGCCTCATTAATATAATCCTTCTCCGGCTTTATCTTAGATCCCATCATATCATTGTTTCAGAGGGTAAAAAAATGTTGTATTCACACTTTTTGTTGGGTAACTTCACCGATTTTACACATCAAAGTGTGTTTTCAGGTGTTGGAGAGTACTGCGTATGTGAAAAAAGCCTTTAGTGGCTCCAGAGGGAGCTGTTTGAAGTCTGATAAATGTCCTTAAGTGATCTCACTTGAGTCAGCGCCTGTTGGGGCTGAAGAGTTTGAAAAAGAAAATGTGGAGATGTGGAGTTAGAAAGGAGGGAGTGTATCAGACTGCTGTTGCTGCTCCTCGTCTCTGCTTGAGAATAGAGTCTCCATGCTACATTAACTACGCTAATAGCACAACACACATATGTCTGCAGTCCAGTTGCATTATGGGTAATGTAGGCACCATATTTTGGTTGTTGAATTAAAAAAGCAGATATCTTTGAGTTTGCTGTATCACTTTGATTGTAAACATTTTTCTTCTTAAGTCTGACAGTGTTTCAGAAGTGTGATGCTGAATCATTGGAGTACTCTTTTAGTAATCTTCAATATCAAAATAATCTGGTTAAAGCAAATGGAAATGATATATTTTCAAACTTTGGCCTGAAGCCTGAAGCACGAAATGCCTCTTTTCAAGATGAGGATCTTGACCTTTAGCTAACTAAAGACACCTTTGGGATCCTGTTTGGCTCAGTTTCCAATTAGAAGCTTTTTATTTCTCTTCAACTTCATTTCTACAGAGTCATCTTTCACAGCTCACGATACAAAAACCCTGTGATTCTGCCTATAATTGGCTGAGACATTTTTAAGGCCAGACACCCGCTGCAGCCGCGTTAATGCAGAGAGCGGAGTGTGTGAGCAGCTTCGTGTGATTCTCAGCTGGTGCACTGATACAGATGAGGGGGAGGCAGACAGTCAGTGGCTGTCTATTTATAGCACGCAGCCACGAGATGCAGACACATTGCAAAGGCTCTTGACGTCATGCTGTGAGGTTGGGATGGTGGATGTCATGGTGAAGTTGCAGAGTTTTGGTGCAGTTATATGGAGGAAACAGAGGAAATGGGCGAGTATTAGTCTGCGGTGGCAGACACGCCGGCTGCACTGCCTCCCTCATTTGACAGAAACAGGCTGGAGCCAAAGTGTTTATTTGCACTTACTGTCCTCTAAAGAGCTAAACAGGCACCTGGCAAAGCAACAATGAGGCATCCCCCTCTGCTTGCTCTATTTCCTCTCTGTCTCCTTTCTTCTTTCTGCTGATGGACTAAAAAAGAAGGAGTGTGTGTGTGTGTGTGTGTGTGTGTGTGTGTGTGTGTGTGTGAGTGAGGAATAGAGGTGATTCACTATCTCACAAACACGCAATGCCATGATGTAACCTGCTGCATTAGGTGATGACACACAGTGCAGGTGTTCAGTATTTTAGTACCTGCCATAAAGAATCTGTCAGGCAAAGATCATCCCCAGTTCATATGTTTACCTCTTTGGCACAATTTCATAAATAAATGGATATTACTTACTAGTATTTTAAAGCAGCACAGTAATTATATGTCATGATACTTTAATATTCTTATTAAACATCTACTGGCATCACATGCTCCAACAATCATCTCACACATTAACATTCAAGTTTAAAGTACATTTAATCAAAAACTACACTATAGTACTATTACAAGGTACTTGAGTGTTTTCTGCTCCTTTATACGTCTACTCCATTACATTTCAGAGGGGACTAAAACACTTATTACTACACTACAAGTATTTCACAGCTTTGCATTAAACATTTCATTCAAAACATATGAAAATTTGCTTTACGCTGCTTAAACCAATCAGCAGTAACTACTTAAATCAGTCACATTTTGTTGATAATACTTTGCATAAGTAAGATTTTACATGCAGAAGCTTTTACTTGTGATGGAGCATTTTTACTCACTCATTTCTTTATCAGGCTAACATGTGAGACCCCCTCCTCTTCCTGAAGGATATGCATTTGAGAAGCACTATAATACGCCACATAAACAACCTGCAGTTGTAAGGTTTGAGCCTCCCCCTAGTGTTTGGTATTAGTATTGACCAGCACCACTCTATATAAACATGGCTTATAATCGTTCAACAGTTTAAATACATTCTCAGACTTTTTCCCATCTGGGTCTTGGTGATATTAAATCCATCCACTGTCCATCCAGTTCGTCTGCAGACAGTTTTTTGAGTTCTTGAGAAAAGTAGGGCGAAAAGATAATAACTGTCATCATATTAATTACAGGGCTGACAGTCAGGCAGCGGTGATGATGAGATGAAATTATTGATCCCTGTGGTGAAATTAGGTCACTGCAGAAACAAGACAAATGAGCACAAACACATGTTCTAACATAAGCAATTATAAAACAACCTGGTTACAGATTAAACACTGTACTGATGTAAGCGTCACAGCAACAGCTTTGGGGTTTTATATTACTGGTTTAATCATCACTGGTATTTATCAGAATCATTTGGACTTTAATTGTCACAGCCCTTACAGCACCAACAACCAATAAAAACCACATTACTTATTTTAACAACAGACTTTGCTTTCTTTTTTCTTGTTTATTCTAACTGTTGCGTGGCAGCTCATCAGCTGTTTGTCATTAGTATTGATTAGGAACACTGACCATCTAAACAAACAACTCTCAGGACTCATTTTGCTACATAAATAAGCTTTTTGTTCATGTGAGTATTTATCACATGACTAAAAATGCCTAATTTGTCCTGAAAAATGTCTACAACCTTTCTTCATTTTATTCCATGTTTTGTTCTCTGTCTGTCCATCAGACTGGAGTCCCAGATGACGTCGGACATCCAGGCCATCCTGCAGCTCCTCCAGAGGCAAACCACAGCTGGTCCCCCCGCCTACAGCACCGTCACCTCCAGCCCCGAGTACCAGAGGCCAGCCATCAGGGTCCAGCCTGTGTCTGCCATCCAGACAGAGCTCAGCCTTGATCCTGCTCCGCCTCGGCCACAGGTACACATCACCCTTCTTAAGTAACTCAGATCATTAGGAAACAAGTGGTGTGTGCCATAATTATTGCTTTGGCTCAATTTCAATTTGTAAAACTCTTGACTGCATTAAATCAGGTAATACATCAGGCAGTAATGTATTACAGTGAGATTTCAGGATACGGTGTCAGGGTGCAGTTGCATTGCCAGGAGCTTTTCACCCAGCAGGCCGGGCTGGGTGCTGTTGAAACAACTGGAGAAGTCAAAGAACTAGACTTTCTCCAGGTGGGAGTAGACCCTGTGCATCGGGAAGATAATGGCCTCCTCACTCCAGTGTGTGCTTGGTATGTAAACTGCCAGGAGGTCCAGGAAGTTATTTGGCAGGGTCCTAAAGGGCTGCAGCACCAGCCTCTAAATCACTTAATGACATATGATGTTCGGCTCCGTAGTCATTAAGGGTATTAAAATTATTTTTTTGAGCAAAAATTTGGTTTTCTAATGTGGTTTACTGCTCTTTAAATGATAAGTAAACTGAATATCTTTGGGGTTTTGAACCGTTAGTCAGACAAGACGAGCAACTGAAAATGTGAACGTTGTGAGAACGTTATCCACAGATTAATCAGCAATGACTATCATAATTACGTTTATTGCTGACTTTTAATAATAAGTGTGGTCAATTTCTCAAGATTATACCAATATGATAAACAGCAATGGCAAGAAAAACAGTAGTAGTAGTTCATGGAGAAGTCTATATGGTGTATTACTGTAAATATAGCTAATGTAGTCTAGAGTCTGACTTTGCACTACAGTTAATCCTCCTTTCATACAAGATACACTACATGAACACTGCATCAGATTACTGTTTCTGCTCTGGATCGAGTAACCGTATATAGTTACAACAAGTTTCTGAATCAACAATACAGAAATCTACAATAACACTGCATTAGAGGTTATGTTGCAGTGGATTTCATTAGGGTAATGTTGTTTAAGTCTGTCTTAAAACCACAGTCAGGTGCCCTTATAAACATTGAACAACAAGTATTCCTCCTGTTAATGCTAACCATGAAGACATCCCTTCTTAATGTGACTCCACAGCCACATTAGACAAATCAGGTGGATGTCCTCCAAAGCTTTTCAGAGCATTGTGTTACAGTCCCTCGGCCACAGCTCAGCAAGTAAACCGTGTGCAGGGAAGCAAAAAGAAGGAATGTACTGTAACTTTGGAAGGTACTCACTTGATTTTATTAGAAGTTAATGTGAGGTGTCTGTGAAAGCTGAGCAATCGTAACATACTGTAAATATTTCAGTTCCTATCGAGATAGTCCAGTAGTGTGTAGTTGGTCAGCTGCTTTTGTTTAAACAGACTTTGGTAAGGTAGCTGTGTTTAGTCTATTTCCTGTTAGATCTGTCTGTAGTTTCTCTGCCAAATGGCTCATGATGCCCACTGTCGCCCTCAGAGCCCTGGCCCAGAAAAGGCCCAGAACAAATCCAAAGAAACCTCCTCAGTCCTCCTTCACACAGAGACTCTTCCAGACGGGAACTTTGCTGGACTGCTAGAGAGCGACACGGACACAGAACAGAGACACACACAAAACAGCGTGGACTCTCTAGAGCAACAACACCAACAGCCACCGAGGGTCCCCTCAGGCAGACAAGCCTCTCTCCCTGAAGTCCCCAGCAGCTCAGGAATGTTGGGACTCCACAGGCCAGTTTCTGACCCGGGGCTTCCAGGAAAGTAGGCCTCCCCGCACGCTTTCGACGTTGACTGAAGGTCTTCTCTCAAGCTTGACTCAGGGTCTAAGAAAGAGACTGAATATGCAAAGGAAAACAAACTGTAGACTTTCTTCCATTCCTTTTCAGAAAAATCTCCCCTGCCCTTCCAACTATCTGATTTCGATGTATAAAGTCCATTTATACAGAGGTATTTATACACTATATTATTAACATGTGTAAAGTCATCTACATACGTGTACATACGTCAAATAGAACACTGCCAGCAACACGAGGCACCTAATGTGCTTTTTCTAAAGAGAGATATGCATGTTTTTGTTTCTCGTTCATTTTCTTTTTCTATTGCATGTTCCTCACACACACTGCGACTCATCCGGCAATCAGGTGTGATCTTGGCATGCTTACAGACTACTGTAGCTCTCAAGTCTCATTTTCTATGACTCTTCCCTCTCCACAGGGACAAAAGCTACTTGAAACTCTCTCCGAGGCATTTCTATATTCCACTCCGCAGCTTTGAAGTTCCTCTTTTATTATCAGCAGCTCCAAAACGATCGACGGCAAACTCACAAGGAGGACTGTCTGTATATTTAGCGTGCCTACTGTACACAACATTGCCACAAACAGATAAAACAGATTACTTCTTATTCAACTCAACATAATGTGTGTAGAGGCTGCATGGACGTCCCATAGCACAACAAGACTTTTGTCTTTGAGAGCAATAATGATGAAACGAACAGACTCTTGGTATATTTGTAGTTTAGTACGCTCTGGAGATCATTTTATACAAGCCGAGCGAAGAAAAAAGAAAAAAAAGGCATCTTTCAACAGCATTTTATGTTGTGAATTAATTTGCGATGTTAAGATCTGTACTTGAATTTAACAGCCCAACTGTCATGCGTAGGGCGTTTCTGGTGGATAAACTGTAAATGTTCAAGACAACAAAATGAATGCTTAAAGTTTTAGTAGATTTGAAAACATAGAATTACCATATAACCACCTGCATCATATCAATATTACATTAGCATGGTTGTAGGGTATTTACAGTTGCAGTCAAAACTTGTAAGGGACATTTATCTGTTCAGGCAGTTTGGGTATTTTAGTCATTTCTACATCTGTTCTTTCTCAGTGACAGAATGACTCTTTGTTACAAGGAAATAAGTTTCTTCTGTACATTTTTTCTGTTAAACAAAATCTAATGAGTCAATAAATATACATACAGTACAGCTAGTATTTGTCACCTGAAGCATCCAGCTTCCACCACTCTTCAGGGTAGAGTCTGGAGTTTAACCTCATTTGTTGTTTTCTTGCACTGGCTCCTCTCTTAAGGCAGTCTAAACTTGATGTAGTTTGATTTATCAGTCCCAAAACCGCCTCTGATCTGTGTTCAGTGTCATTGTCCTGTTGGAACAGGTAGAAGTTCAATCTACTTCTTGTCATTGTGGTCAGATAACTCCATCTTTTAACTCTCCGTCCAGCACAAGGTCATTTGTTTGTCAGGCTTTATGGTTTTGGAGCTTCTGTCTCACAGGGTAGACTCTCAGCTTATGGTGATAGGTGACACCTCTGTTCCAGCAACTTGGACATTAAACTCTGGACTAATAGTCTTTCAAGCACAGTTGGAGTTTTCTTCAAAAGACGCCTCAGTTCCCAGTACATGTAATTGTTAATCTCGACATTTTAGATCTTTCTATGCCACCAATATCTATAATTTACAGTCCTGTAAATTGCTCTATGTACATTATTGACTCAATAGATTTTCAGATGAGCCACAAAAAAACGTCTTTTTGTGACAAAGAAGAGCGTTTTTCAGTGATTTTGTCACAGAAAAAAAACAATCCCCAAACTGCGTTGACATAATGTCCCTCACAAGTGTGTGTAAACTATTGACTGCAACTGTGAAACTGCTGCACAGGAAGTAACATCCTGAATCTTCTCCACAGCTGGAGGGAACTCTGACTATCCCACAAGATAGTTTATGGTTGCATGCTTTAGGTCTTCCATTATCTTCTTTAAAAGTACAATTTCGTGAATAAAGAAAATCATCTCTAACATCAAAAAAATGTAAAAAATGAGGAGAAAAAAAAGATGCTTTGTCATGTTTGGGGCCAACGAGACAGCTCCGCCTTCTATAGCCTTAGCTTTATAAGCCTGCTCTAGCCTTTACAGACGACATCAGTCCAATGCAACAGAAACCTGCTTCTCCACCGTCACAGATGTAAATGTACTGAACCGTTTTTAGGCTGAACTGCATGACAAAAATGAATTAGTCATTCTAGTTTTTTAACTACACAAATTCCCACACGAGCTCATGTATTGCATGGAGACTGCACTCGACTAAATTATAAAAAAGGTCTCAATCAGCTGTGTGTGACATGTATTGATGCGTAAGGTCCAGCACATAACTCACCCAGAAAGATTTAGAAATAACGGTTAGACCTATTTTTCTAAAACAAAGTATTTAATTTGCTGTTATTTTTCTATGTACCTTTTATTTGTTTTTAAAAACAACCCTGATGTTTGTTTGAATGGCGTGGACTGCTGATGGGAAGACGATGAATGCAATGCACAGCCTCTCAATGTAGCAAGACGTCAGTGACAGCTTCGTGCTGCATTTACTGTATGCTGTTGAAATGGTTTGTCTGGATTTAATATTGCACATTGATATCATATCATTTCTACACTGACTTCTCCCTCCGAACTTATTCAACACTTCACTGTCATCGTTTTGTCCCGACTCATCCGGTGGAAAAACCTCCTCACTCCCGGTGACAAAAACACAACACGTAGAAGTCATTTAAGTGTTTGTAAGGTGTGTGAGACATGATGAAATCTGTCCGGATGAAGAAGCTCATGTTCCCTACACTTACAGACCCGAGACGTCAAGAGACAATGTCAGTTGAATGCAGGATTAAAATGGACTTTATGGTAAAATACAGATGTTTCCAGCAGAACACGGGGTGTTTTCTTTGATAAGCTTTCTTTCTCGAGCACAGATGTAGAACAAAAGTTGCTGAAGCCTAACTCGACATGTCTAACGCCTGAAGAGTTGTCTCCTGAACTTTCACGGGATTTGCAAACTTTTGCACAGAGATTAGAAAACTTGCTGTACTGGATATAAATGTCACTTTTTAAATCTAGTGCTGTTCACAATTGTTTTTATGCATTTTTTAAATGTTTGCCACTGTATTTTATACAATGCAACACTTAACAGCTAATTTGAATGTTTCCGTTCTTAACTATATTTAAAGAAATGAAATATATTGTGTAAATAGACTGGGGAAAAATGCGCAATTGTATAAATTAATAAACAGAATGCATACTGATTAAAAAGTGTTTATTGTGAGTAACAAAATATGATATTTATCACAACATTGGGTATGTGCAGAGGTTTTTTAAACCCGGCTGTGTTTGAAAACCAAGTTTACAGGTGCATAATCTCAAGCATATGAAGGTAATCTCATTAATAAAAGGTATCAGTGTGGATTTAGCTCACAGTCACTTTGGCTTGTTATAGAGTTAAACATCAAGCTAATCTACTGTCGTTAGGCTCAACAGAGGGTTTATAAAACAGATGCAACAGTGCACATTATTTCCTGCACAAATAAAATATTACAACAAATAATGCACATGAGAAACTATAACAAATCTGTTCAGTGTCAACGTCAACTCAACATCATGTTATCTGTAAATGCTAACATTTAACCATAACTTGTGATGCTGCCTTTACTACAAAGTTATCTGTAAATGATTTTAATATAATAGTCCATACATTCAGAGATTATAATGGCACAATAGGTGTCTCACAGGTCAGATGATGCTTTATACTATCAGTATTCATGTTGCTGTTTCATTCCAAACTGAGAGACCCAAAGCAGAATATTCTAACAAACACATCATTCCTACATTGTTCCACTGAAACTCTCAAACCTCCATTCTTTAAAGCCCCTACATGCACCCAACATTTTTCCAAATTATTCAGACACAACTTGTCTCTGACTTTGAAGTCAGAAATCCTACACATAAGGGCTTTAAAGATACTTAAATGTATAATATTTCCCCTCTTTAATCAATTATATTCGCCACTAATGTGGATACATACTTTGTGTATATACGTGTGATACATCTTCAGCACATCCCTGTATGAGATACAAGACTTAAGCATAACAGCAAGCATTACAAGCGATGGGTACTTTCCTGTTGCGGCTCATGGCAACTCAGTCTGATATACTGGCCTCCCTTTGCATTCCTGTGAGGCAGCGGCCCAGAATCCACCACTGATTGGTTGGTTAAACGCCCTGACCTCGTGGTGTGGGACACACAGCAGCACTTAGATGGCCATTGTGCAGAGGACGAACTGTTAACAGGGAGAATAGTCAAAGAGAGAGACAGAGAATCAACCACTGGACCTCAACAGGAAACACTCCTCTGCACCGAGCTGTTCCACACGCAGGCTGACTGAAACAGCGTGGAATAATGTCCCAGAACGTCCGAATACTGCAACAACACAGCGCACAACTGCTACCTATCGGTTTATAGAGTGAGAGCTACAAAATGAGACCGTGTGAGAGGTGGACTTACGTCGTCATACTGGAAGTTGACGGATCCCTGCTGCATGGTATCTCTCCGTCTGAAGTTATCTGTAACAGGAAGAGTAAACGTTTCACAGCACTGAAGGGTCACGATTTCAATAAAGCCCGTTTCGCAGCACCTTGTGACACAGATTTGAGCTGAATGTCACGGCACTTCAGAGATAACAACGAGGATTACAGGCGGGAAGAAACCAAAAGCAATCTGAGTGTCGGCCCACGTTAAAGACACGCGTGTGCACACGAGTGGCTGTCCACTGAACGTGTCAGGTCATTTCTGTCCACTGTGGTTCTTTGTGTTTCTTACCTGTGACCGCTCGCAGTTTGACAGAGCAGGCCACGTAGTCATCAAAGTAGATTCTTCCTCCTTTGCTGTAGCGCTTGATGATGACATTTAGAGCCTGAGGACTGACACGGTAGCCTAAAGACGGGGGGAAGAAAAAAGTCTGAGTTTTTTTTCTCTCATTTAAATATGCAGCATGGTGGCAGCTGTGGTTAAGACTGTTTGTGAAAGACACCACTGTTTCCTGTCAGACTGGGTCAAAAGAGCAATTTAACATTTCTGTGAAGCCCTAAAAACACTCAACTGAAGGAAATGAACTGGAATAATCTCACAATATCAATACAAGGTTTTTGCATTTATATTTTTTAACACTCGGGAGTTTCAATTTGTTGATAATGTCGGGATGTCTGAGCCATGAAATGCAAATTGGTGACACTTGCCGAGCACGGTGCATTGTAAGCAATGCTTCTGCACAAAATTCTGCACATCATGCAGAGCTCCACTAATAAATGGGTTAGATAGATATAAACTTATAGCCAATATAACAGTATCGACATATGTGTCAACCTCTACTGGGGAGCACTGACAGTTGATTTTAACAATGTAAAATGTCCCACTCAGCATGTATATTGCTCATATTTCTATTATTCTTTTATTAAAATGTTTATTGGCCAATACTGTTATCAGATTTGGCTTAAATATTAATACCTGCCTGAAACGAAATAACTAAGCTTGCCATGCAACGCGTCACCAAAGTGCATGTTGTTGTTTTTCTTAATGAATTTATGTGAAACAAAAGAGCATTAAGTCATAAACCTTCATGTGAAAACCTTGACCTTTGCACACCATGTATCACATGGCAGTTGGTGCCCTGAAGCAATTCACCTCTAATGATCTGACCAAAATGCAACAGAAGCAAACATGTCTACACATGGAGGATAAGCATTAATGTTCCCCTCTGTCGAGCTGCAGATGATGCAGAATGGAGAATCTGTCGCTCTACTGTGAAGGTAAAGATAAGTCAGAGACAGATCGCACCGATCAGCTCAGATTAAACCCTGATCTAATTAAGAGTCATTAAACATTCTGATTAACATTAGATGTGTTATCGCGATCACGTTAAACATCCATCATGTTAAAGTGTGAAGAGTCTCACCCATGGCGTTGATTGCCTGAGTCATCTCGTGAGGCTCCACAGTTCCGCTCCTGTCCTGGTCGAACATCATGAAGTTCTGCTTCCAGCCGTTCAGAGCTGTGAAAAGCTCCTTGAACTCACTGAAGCCCATCTTGCCTGTAAAGTCCCTCTGGTGGAAGTCCAGTTAAGCTTTAACAACTGCAAGCAGCTGGTTAACCTGGTTCGAGCCGCACCTACTGTAAACATGTTTCAACAATGAGTGTGAATGGAGGCGCTAACGGGGGGGGGGTTACAGAAAGGATACGTCGAGCATGGCGATCATGATCCTGCATGTCTCCAGGCTGAAGGCTGTGAAGTTAATGAAACAGGAGAAGAATTAGGCGCATTTTTATTCCAAAGATAAAATAAAAGTAGTACGGTGATGTGGCAGACGCACATCAGTCACAGCTTAACTTTAGTTATTTGTCAATGTAAACAAAAGGGAAGTAGTTGCATAACCTGCTCTCATATCTTAGTGAACAGCGTGTCCCCTCCTGCGTTTCCAGAGCGATAGAAGCAGGGGGTTATGGGCTAAAGCACCATGAACATCTTTATATGCAATGAATGTTGGAAGGTTATTACTACTATTATAGTCAGAAGCATGAGTATTATAGCCACAGGCTGCCTGTACATTAGAAGAATGGCTTACACAGTAGTCGCTGTCATTTGTCAGAGTAAACAGGGCAGCAGCTGCTCAACCTGATTTCATACTTTGGGGGCATGTTCACAAAATATCCAAAGGCTAAAAGTTTTTACCTGACAGGCTGAGTTAGTAGGAACCGAAGAACACTGGAGATGGTACAGTACTGTGATCCCAAAAAGGCTCCTTCCTCACCCCGCTTGCTTCATTAACCGTGTCTATTAAGCAATATAGATATTTTATAAACTATCAATTGAGCCTTGTGCTCCTGTACACTGATGAATATTTCACTTCACTTTCAGGTTCGTCAGCTGTCAACCAATCACTGCAGACAGTCGGTTTGGTGGTGTATCAAGCCCACATTCACTTCCCCTGCAGATACCGTAGGAGTCCTACAATAGCCTCTATGAATGGGGGAGGAAATTATTGCATGTTGCAACTTTGGTGGCCCCATCCTTGCTTAAACCAGCAGGCACTGCACAGTCACAAGTTTTGGTCTCCAATGTATCCAGAAAAATGTTATTTAAACACTTTTTCTCTTTGTTCGCTTCCATACCTGTCCTCCAAGAATAGAAACACTTGACTGAGCATTGTAAAATAACAGAATGGTATAATTCAGGAGTCAGCCGTCCTCCTTCTGTGGAAGGGAGAGCTGTGAACTTACGAGTGTAGCTTCCAGTGAAACCAGACTGCGTCAGACACTTCTGGAGCTCCTCGGCATCGACCTCACCGTCCTGCACAGAACAGGAAGTGGTCAGTCATGTGTGACTCTCAGAGGAATAAACAACACTTTGGAGGAGACAGGTCTGCTGGTCAAGTGTGAAGTGATGAGAGCAGAGGAACAAAACTAAACTCTGAACTGAGGGCGCTGTATACACTGCGCTGAGTGAAAATCAGAAAGAAAGACAGCGTGAGTCTCATAACTTCTGTGTCTGAGACAATAAATCTAAAAGAAGAAGTGAAATAACTTACAATACTCATTATACGCTTTATGTATTTAGTCTCTTCTGTAAAGGTTGAGCTGCAGGAAGCTGTTCAAACAGACACGTTTAGGGAAGTGTTGACAGCTGATTAGTCTCAGTTAATCCACTGTTTTAAAAAACATGCGACAACTGAAGCGGAGTGAAATCAAGTTGAGACAGATCTCTAATATCAGGTACTGTTTCATGAAACCTGGAATATCTAGAAAAGGGAACGTTACTTGTTCTTGTCTGAACTAAAATGAGAAAGTCAAAGCAACCCCTGCAGTGAAATAGTATAAAAAGGCTACAAGTATAACTTCTAATCTTCTAATAATTCAGATAATCCACACGTACCTGGCCTGCTATGGCGGTAAAGTAACCCCACATTGGATCATTGGCAGCTGGAGGCGCGGCGCCATACCCGCCTGGATAGCCTCCTCCGTAGTGGGCATATCCTCCCTGGGGTGGTGCGCCTCCCATCGGCCCACCCATGTGCCCAGGCATGGGGCCTCCCATGGGCCCTCCTGGCATTCCTTGGGGCGGCATTCCTTGGGGCGGCATCCCCTGCCCTGGCATGCCTGGCATTGGCCCCCCATACTGAGGCAGGGAGGAGACATAGAGGCGCTCAGAGCAGGATTTACTTTCATACAGTCAGTGGTGCAAAAGGCAAAGAGTGAGATATATTTTGGAAATGTTTCACTTTTGTGTTCTCGGCTTCTGTTTGGGGAATAATGAGCTCTCTTCTTACTCGGTTTAATATATTAAAGCATTAAAGATCTCAATGAGTGGTGGACAATCATGGCTCGGTGTGTCTTGATGTGATGCAGCTGTGGGGGTCACCGCTGGAGGTCTGCTATTGGCTGATCCACTGATTGATCGCTCTCAGGAAGGTGTCTGTCCCCACTGTACCACACTGGCATCTTTATACAAGTCCTACTTTTTTTACTAAAAAGGAGTTTTCAGGATATTTTTGGGAAGTTTTCTTGGCTTCATTCTGGCCCCAAAGAATTTAAATGACTCTGCAGACAGTGGACAATAAAAAGAAATGGGTGTGTGTATATGGCCCCTGTACTAAAAGGTAAGTGCACTGACCCAAACGAATCAACTAAAGAAGGATGCACTGTGTTAAAGTCCATTACAGATTAGCTTTGGTGGGCTAAAGGTAGAAGCTGGTTGTTGCTCACTAATGTTGATGACTTTCATCCCGGAAGAGGGAGTTAATGTACATTTTAATGAGCTGGGAATGCCAACATGGCTCCCAACTCACACCTGGAACTGACCCAAACACACACATTGCAGTTTAAGTATAAATTAAACAACCCCCCCGCTGATACAAGAAGAAGAGGAGGCTCTGTAACAGCGCAGCTTTGGGACAACTAAAACGAGCTCCTCCAGGCTAGCTTCTTCTGCTAGCCACCGTGAGCTAGTTTAGCTCTATAAAATGAACATTACGTATATTTAACTCACCCCGCCGTAGCCTGGATACGCCATATTGGTAAAAAGAGAGCAAACTGTCACAAGTTTAATATCTTTTGAAGTGTGATTGACGGTTACGCCACTAACGGTAGTAACTTCCGATAAGTACGTTGCTACATCATATCCGAGCTGTCGGAAGTGTGTTGACTGACTGCGCTCTTAGCCAATGGGAGAGAAGGAAAGTCGTAAAAGACCCGCCCCCTTTTTTATATGCGGCTTTTAGTTACTCCTCGTAACTTTGAGTTGCCCCTAAACCCACGGTCTATATGGTGGGAACTCAACGATTTTAAAGTGAGAACACATATTAAATATTTAATAATTAAAAATGCATACCTGTGTCAATGGTCTTTACATCTGACACCAGCCCTTAAATATCATATTTTGATAACTTGGGTGGGTTATAACATTACTATCGGACACAAAGTTAAGAGTCTCTATTTTCCCAGTTTTTAAACGTATCACTTAAGAATTTCCAGTGTTTTTTCCTTCTTTTATTTTATCAGTTTTTAAATCTCATTTTTGACATTTTTTTTTAATTGCGCAAGTTGACTGTACAAACACGTATAATCCTAAATATAGCATGTTTTTGCTTTTTAAGATCCAGATCAATGTTTCTAACCCTTTTTTATCTTTAATTTTAGGAAAAAGATTTGCCTGTTCTGCTTGACCTTCGCCACTAGATGGTGCTTTTGGGACTTTTGCTAATGCCATATTAACAAAAACTGCAATGTATTTTAGTTCTACAACTGGAGGTAAGTGCTTTTTAGATAAGGCATAGAAATGTATACTAACAACACAGAAACAGACAGAATGAATAGAATAAAATCAAGTTTTTGATTTTTTTTTTTCAGCTGCACTTTATGGAGATCATCATTATCTTCTATCAGTTGGCTGCTTTATTAATCATGAAGGAAAAAAGCGTAACAAAATAAATGCTCACAAATCCTGTAAGACTTCCACGTCGAGAAACAGTCATCTGTGATAGAAAATGTATCAGAAGGTGAGAATCCACAGCCCTGAAAGCGATTAGAGGAGTCTTTGTGTATTTCACTCCTCAGTAAAACTCAATGTACTGAGTTCAACAGAAAAGCAGCATATGGGAAGCAGGTGGTGAAGGGCAGAGGTGCTGTGATGTCTCATAGCTCCAACTTAACCAAACATCTGTGGTGGGAGGTGTCAACTTCTAACCACACGGACATGCCAGCACTCATGCACTGAAACCTGACTGTAGCTGTCAGATTAGTGAAAGTGTGAGTGGTGCTGAGAGTCTGATATTGCTGCGGGTTCATGAAGGCGTACACTTTGCAGCTATGAAGGTAAATATGTTGCAATAATTAAATGTGTAAAGAATAATGTGAAAGTTTTTGTGAAACGCCTACATAGTTTTTGACTGCGTGAATTCAAGTGTGAAAGTGTGGAATGAACATTTTTGTTTTTAAAAGCAAGTAATCAAAGTATTTAGCATCTGTATAATGCCAATTTCAGGCCTGATCAATTAGAGGCTGTACTTTTAACTTTGGTCTTCATTAATCATGTAACACTAAAATATCAAGTATGAGTATAATCTTAAGTTGTTTCTGTAAAACAACAGTATTTTAGTATAAAATGAATGTGTATATGATGTGTTGATCTGTAAATAAACACACAAACTTTACATATTAAGTGGTTTCTGGCCTTTTTGGCTCATGATCTCTTACAGCAGTGTTTTTGCTGACGCTCCACATGAATATTAGCCGTTAGCAGCTCCACCACAACATCCTGTCACAGGGTTTTGCTTCGGTGACTGTCAGGAATTAGCAGAACTAAAGGTTACAAAATTATTGGTTCCCAGGTTGGGAATACTTTAGTTTTACATCTACTCTCTTCACTGAAGTAGGAGACATCTTGTGTCCAGCAGGAAAACTTTAGAAACATTTGCATTTTTATAGATCGTGGTATTTTTAATGAGGTTGAAGGAGTAGCTGACTCTTAATGGATTTTAATTTGGAAATTATACTACTCTTTTGCATAAAAATATATATCAGACACACATTGTTCCAAGCAGACTATTTGTATATATGTTGTAATACGGGTCTTGAGGGGATCTTTAAGATTTCTTTATTTGAGTGCAGGACTTTTACTTGTTACTGGTTACTCAAGAGCACCACAGAGTAATATAATATTAATATAGTATAGTGAAAATCTTGGCCCCTATCAGAGTGTTATATGATCTATATTATTGGATTGTTATTGATTTGAATGAACACAAGCTGCATTTTAATGTTTTAGCTGGTAGAAGTGGAGTTAGTTTTAACTGTTAGCCTACATGTTTAATCTGTAACCCATTATATTGATCAAGTGTTTTGTATGTAAAATCTTAACCTGATATGCTGGGAAATAAATGAGTAAAAGCTACTATATTAACCTCTGAAACATAAACTGTACTTTAGTTTCTTTCCACTGCTGATTGTATATCCTGTCCTTCATGTGTTTGTCATCCGTTGAGAGTTGCTGTATGTTTAAATACATGTTTGTGTAAAATAGTAACTGTAGTAGGGTGGTTAAAGTGTCTTAGTGCAGAAGCAGAGCCACTGAGGTCAGCTGCTGCTCCAGTACATTAAGCAGATACACACAGCGCTATAAGGATGTTAATAGAAGCTTCACTGACCCATTTCTAACACCAGTGATTCCCTCACAGCTCTCCAAACAATAACTTCCAAACTAGAAACGCTCTCCAACCTCAAGCCAAGAATGCAATTATAGCACCGACACTCACGCCACATCTGTTGAAATCAAAACCAAGCATCTCTGTTTATTCCTGCGAATAAACACTGGACGTTACCCTCAGAACTCGCTACAGTCGAAGATCTTCGAGTGCAAATACCCAGCATCCATTGCAGGGTATAAACCGTACAATGCGCTGTTGCTGTGACGGATGATTGTACACTCAAGCCTCGGTTCTGTTACGTCTGTGCAACATTTAACTCGGTGTGGGTGGAGAAAATCGCAAACATCTGAAATAGACCCACTGTTAATATTAGATTAAATTAAATTAAATTTAATCTACAACCATTTCATATAAATAACTCTAAGGTTTGCATTTAGCTTTTTTTTTTTTTTTTTTTAATTAATTGAAAAAGTAGCAGTGTATTTTTTCCTCATTTCTTTCAGTTATTGATAACAAAAATTGCTAAAAAAAACAACTTTTTTAAATGTTACTGTGATGTAACCTTACTATAATTTAATATGCAAGCACAAATTGAACTGTCACTGCTCCTTCATTCTGTGTAATACATGTTTCCTTCCTCATTCATTCTCCCTCTGTTGTTTCTCTGCTCCATCTCGCTCCCTCTCTATCCACACACTAGCACTATATATATCTGTCCAATAAGACCAAATGTGTTCAAATTGACACCTATAAACGATTTTAGTTGCACTTTAGTGTCAGGTAAATGGAGGCATCTATGAAGTAACGCTCTTCAAACAAGCCCCGCTGCATTAGGGGAAACATCCACTGTCTGTCTGTTTGCTGAGGATGTCCGGTGCGAGGGAACGAGTGCAGAATATGTTGTCTATTCCTCATAAAGGACAAGCTTTTATATTTGTTAAGCTTTTAACGGGCTTTTAGCATTTACTGTGACTGGTCAGCACTCACAGTATGTACAAAGAGGGAAAACTTCCACAGTTTGTGGCTACATGGACTAAAATTTACTTATTTCCCCCTGCTCTGAACTGTGCCTCATGTAGTTCTGTCAATAAATTTATAAAACACATAATATTCTTTATAAATTAGGAATTAAAAAGATTTTACCTTTTTCCACCCTTGTGTCCCACTGTCGATGACACAGTTCTTATGCTGCCTTCAGGAACTAGACCGAAACAGGAAGGATATTAATGATTATGTAAATACAGCATATGCTTCGTATGGCATTTATGACAGTCCCGTTTATTAGCCTTCGTCCCAGCTTATCAGCCATCCAACAGTCATGTGAAGTAATCTGAGGCAGCGGTGGACTGGTCATACCTGGACGTGATTTATGTCCATGAGATGTGTGAAATGTAGGAAAAGTGAAATAAATATCTGCAGTAATAAGAGTTTGTACATTTTTGTTCATCATCTTAATTTGGCATAGCCAGCATTTGCTAATTAGCACTAGACACAGTATAATTTGAGGTATTTGGTTTATGAAGCAAAATACTGGACATAAGCTATAGTAATTCTGACCTGATGATGGCACTAGATGAAAGGGGAGGGATCTGCCATTCTGATGAAACGAGAAGATAAAACATCTGCACCAAATTTAATGGAAGCCTAAATCCCTTAATTGTTGACACATTTGACTCAAATCCACAAATATCAACCTCATGCTTGCATTCAGTGGGACCCTGCCCCTGAGGACTATGGATGAAAGTACAAGATTTCTTGGTAATCGATCCTAACGTTAAGACCCTTCAGTCTGTACCAACATGGACTGACACAGTTGATGATCTTAAAGGTGGAATTGGCAATAAACTGAGGTGATGAGTTAAGAAAAGAGTTTTAAGCTACAATTTTAAAAGGGGAAACAGCTCAATAAACAGGGCTTGGGTCTTTTTAGCGGCCAGATATTAGCAAGAAGGTGAATTAAATGATGTGATGAAGCCAGGAGTGTGTTAAGCTTGTATGATTTTTGCCCACAGGCGACTATTAAGTGTGAAATGCATGAACATGGTATATGCATAACATGTAGAAACGAGTCATAAAATTAGCAAACTGACTGTTTTACAGTTTTCTAACATTTTCTAACAGTAGCTTCCATAAGTGAATGGTCAGGCTGTACTCAACGAAAGCGTATTGAAGCAAGGGGGGGTGGATTTTATTACTTAATAAATTATTACTTTATAAAAATCCTGGAGGTGGAAATAGCACATTATTTTATTGTGGTCCAAGAAACCTGTTCCACCACATCATTTTGAAAAGATCTACAGTATTCTGTGAAATATCCCATTGGATAGTTTTATTTCTTTCATATTCCCAGTAATTTAAATTCAGTCGTATGTCCTCAGTTTCCCTACATGCTGCTACGTGAAGTTGTTTTCTGTTCTGCACTCTGTCAGGAATTCTGGTGGGAAAAACCTTTTAAAATCCACCATTTGTAAGTTAAAATGATCAAAAGGAGTCTGGAGTGGGAGCTCCCCAGTGTTATTGTACCTACTGAATAACCCTCTTGAGGTGTTGCCCACTCTTACTCTGTAGCAGAGGGTCCTGTAGATGTCAGATAGTGTTGTGTAGTCTATAAATCTGAACTTTGGCATCCCTAATATATTTTAAAGATGTATTTTTTTGCCCTGTAAGCATTACTTCAGCAGATAGGAGCCTAGTTTTTTTTTGGTCAGTTAATAGAACAGCATATCACGATCACTGACCCAATCAGTTTTAATATCTGGGGCTTCTCACTGCAGCCACACCAGCACCACTTCATGCCTTTCACTCAGTAAACAGTATAACAGCCTGTGACAGTATAAACATCCCAGTGAGCTGCAGGCAGTCTGTGCGCCAACTCCATTTTATATTAATTGCAATTTACAACTAGAATTACTGTTCTTAAAGTAAAATCAGTATGAAAGTGTTATATTGTCTCAGAGCTGGCGGCGGGTCGCCTCGATGAATGAGTGAATGAATGAATGAATGACCTGTGAATGTTTTGAACAGTGGACAGTTTGGGGAACAGCCTGACATGCAGCCGCACACTTCCTCTAAACACTGGTACAGCATCAAACCTGGCGAACTTTACTCCGCCGGACAATTTATTGTCCCCACCTTTGAAACTTGAGTGTAGATAATATTTAACAGCAAAGCCAGAGTGTCGCATAACTTTAGAGCTCTCCGCAGCGTGTGTCCGGCTGGATCGATGGAGTTGTGATTTTGGACGGATATAGTTTTTTTACACTCAGAAACAATGGTTGGTGTCGGCTTGTTAATACTCACTCATCATCGATGGTAGTGTTGGATTATGCTTCACGTGGAGCTTTTTGAAGCGGTTTTCTGACTTTTTGTGTGTGTGTGTGTGTGTGTGTGTGTGTGTGTGTGTGTGTGTGTCCGTTCACTTCTGAGCAGGTTTCCATCGCCAAGGTGCTCCTCGGAGTCTTCGGGGTAGCAGTCGTCGTCATCCTGATAGCGGTACCCACGGCTATATATTTGAAAGGTGAGTCACTTTTTTTTTTTTTTAAGAGCCATTAAATGATTCACATGTTGGCATTTATACATCATCTGTGGTCCGACGCACCGTTAAACACATCCGACATCACGCACGCGTCATTACGCATGATCCGCTTGGATCACTGTTTAATGGCACCTCTGATATGCTGATAGGAAGTGTGAAACAATTCAACTCTGACAGTTTATATTTCCATTTTAGAAATTAAATAAACAAATGTAATATGTATTATTTTGTATTAAATTTGTGGGTAAATCAGGTTGTTAGTCTCGCTGGCTCAAGTGCATCCCTTTAAAGCTTCACTCATGATAATTCCCATAATTACCCACAAACACGCACTGACGTCAGAAATATTCCACTTGTCATGATGAGTTGCAGACTTAGCAGCACTTAACCACCTTTTATGATGATAATCATGGTGTGTGTGTGTGTGTGTGTGTGTGTGTGATATCATATCTGTAACCTGTGACCTTCAAGTCCCCCGTCTAACTTTCTAATGTGTGTTTCAGAGGAGCAGGCGGGGAACCAAAGGACCTTCACACTGGAGGATGTCTTCAACAGTTCACTGAAGCCAAAGTCCTACAGCATGAGATGGATCTCAGGTGGGAGACGGTTTATTGTCAGAATTAAACGCTGTAAAAAAGGAGGTGGAACATGATGCTTTGCAGCCAGGTATGTGCTGTAAATGTGTCACTGAGGATGCTTTTGTTATCTATCAGATACAGTATTCTCCTTTTTGTTCTAGTTACTAATTCACTTACATTGATAACAACATTAAAGTGTGTGTGTGATGAATGCATGTGTGGGGAAATATTTACACTACAAAAAAGGGTACAAAACAAATTCTTTACATTCACTAGTGCAGTGATTTAATGATTGAATACATGAATTAATGCAAGGTATTCTCATTGCTCAACATTAAAGGAAGTCACTGAGTTTATGTGATTACTTAACACTTAATAGATGATCAATTAACGATTGTTAACTCAGAGTTGCTTCATTAATCTATAGCTGTATCAATTGATATGCTGCCAAATACTATTCAGTATCAGTAACACAGAGGAGGACGAAGGGGTCACTATGACATTTTGTACAGATATTTATGTTCCCCTCAGGATGAATTGTCATAAGTTTGGTGATGCCTTCACTGTCCGTAACCAGTTGGTAATCCCTTTGTTTTACATGCCTTTTATATCATCTTCCTCCACAGATTATGAGTATCTGCAGAAGTCCCAGGGCTCAGTCTTCCTCCACAACGTCCTCACAGAAACTTCTTCAGAGTTCTTGAGCCGAGACAAGTTTGTAAGTCATCCTCCTCCTGTGCATCTGTGTGCTTCTTTTGTCTAGGCACCAAAGTTTACATGATATCAGCATGGAAACTACATACCCAGCCAAACAAATGCAGTGTTGTCCGCGAGGATGTGACCATGGGGTCTGTGAAACTCATAATACTTTTCTTTCTTTTTTTCCAACGCAGGATGAAAAAGGCGCGTATGATTACCAGCTATCTGCAGACCGCAAATATGTTGCGTTCATGAGCAACCATTCCAAGGTACGCTAAGCTTTTTATTTGCATTCATATATCGCATATTTAAAGCTCCTGAAGTGATGTACAGTGTTTGTTTTTCTTGTCCCATTAGCTGTGGAGGCATTCATTCACAGCTTCATATTCACTTTATGAGCTGGAATCGGGGTAAGTACCCTCACTGCTTTATTTTAACTCCTACAAAAAGTGTTAGATTAAAGTTAAATGTATGCACTCATGATAATGCAATGCTCCCCAGTTAAAAGCATTCACCAAGCTGTCCATGTTATGCATGCAAAGTAGGTTATTTCTAAAATAAAATGATAGTACAGCAGTTGTAGAGGATACCTTTAAAGAGCTCGCTACAATTCCACAAATCTCCTGAAGGTTTTTTCACTTTATTTCAGCACATTTCTCACACCCTCTGACATTCCTCATGAAGTCCAGTACTTTGCCTGGGCTCCTGAAGGGAACAAACTGGTAAGCTCTGGCGGACAAATGATTGGTTACGTGTACGTCTGACAGTCTGGCTTTGGAGTGGGTGATAGATGAAGTGATCAAGCACAACCTTTCCCAAACACTTGAGCGGAGCAAAACGGCTTCAAAATGGGTCAGAAAGAAACCAGGCTGTCGTTTTTTGAATGTATGTATTTGTATTGTTTTTGTATTTTCAGGCCTATGTGTGGAAGAATAATGTGTACATAAAGACCAGCCCCGGGTCGGCACCAAAACAAGTCACTTTCAACGGCGAGGACAATCAGATTTTTAATGGGATCCCAGACTGGGTGTATGAAGGTGAGTGGCAGATGATTTATAACTTAAAACTGTGAAGCCTCATTTCCACCTGGTGTTAATAAGAGTTCTCGTTAATAGAATTCTGTCTAGGTTGTGATTGAAGCTTGATATTCAGATTAGTTAGGCAAAATGTAAACAAACATTATCAACCACTGTTAGTGGAAAGTAACAAAGTACATTTATTTATACAAAAAACACCAAAATAAGTTGTAAGTTGTACTCCATAACATTACTGTACTTCAGTAACCTTTTAGAGTAAATTGTACATGTTGGAGTAGTTTTACTCTTCCAATGAAATCAATATTATTATGTATTATTTTTCAAAAAATAGCATGTTGTGATATTTTTAGGCATTTTTTTTGCAATGAAATTGTGTCTGCATGGTCTGCAACTATAAACAAAGAAGCAAGTTTGGTGAAGTTTGGCTTAGCATTTTGTGCAAGAAACTTCAATGACTGGACAAAATTGCAAAGTTGAATTTGCATTTGTTGCAATCATAACTTCCTGGAGGTATGTTATTATAAAGTACCAATACTTTTACTGTAATACAGTTTGTGGCTACTGTCTCTCTCTGCTCAGATTGTTCATTTAAATAACTGTTTGCGGCTCAAAGAGGTTAAAGTATCCAATATTTCACATCAAGTGAGATTATTAATCGTCTCACAACCCCGCAGATTTATTTTGGGACCCTTTGGAGGGACCTGAACCCTGGGTTGGGATTAAACCATAACTGTATAGTTTAAAGTCCTGAATCCTGACTCAGCTTCTCACTTTCCCTCTTCCAGAGGAGATGTTTTCATCCAATCAGGGCCTCTGGTGGTCACCTGGAGGGAAGTACGTGGCTTACGTTGAGTCCAACGACACCGAGGTCCACGCCATAGAGTACTCGTGGTACGGCAACAACCAGTACCCCAGCACCGTTTCCATTCCATACCCGAAGGTGGGATGTTTGACTTTCACAAGCATGCGCTGGGATCCCTGTATTGTTGTATGTCAGTGAACTGTGTACGCTGAGTTCAGACTTGCTCAGCATAATCTTTATTATCTGGTGTGTCTTTTCATTGTGCAGCCAGGTACTCCAAACCCTGTTGTGAAACTGTTTGTTGTGGACACTAACAACACATCAAAAATTACTGAGGTGGTTGTTCCAGACCCATTCGGCTCAAGGTAATAAAATAGCTTCTATTGTGTTCTGTTTTATCCTGTTATCAGGGGTGGAAGGAGTGTCATGATTTATTTAATTTGTTTCTTGTCCTCAGTGAGCACTATTTGGCAACTGTTACTTGGGCGACAGATGAACGTATCGCTGTCCAGTGGCTGAAGAGAGTCCAAAATCATCTCATCCTTCAGATCTACAATTTTAACGGATCTAAATGGGAGCAGGCTGAGGTAAAACGTTACGATTATTATTTTTATTTTGTCTGCACTGGAACAAAATGTGGCATGAAATATTACGCTGACAGAGACACTATGCAAACATCTTGATGAGTTTTAAGTATACAAACCATTTAGATAGCAATAAAACTTAGACACAGCAACACTTTTGTCTGAAAGGGAGGATGAGGTAAAGGTTTTATAGACCTGCGCTTAGTTTATTGTCTAAATTGCCTTCTGGTCAACTGTTAACATGACACCAGCTGCATCACTAAATTAAATTTAGCGATCATTGTGTCTGTCTTAAAACAACATTCACATATGTACACTGAAGTGGTGGGCCAAAGTTTTTTCTTATAGATAAGATGAGGCTTCAGCAGTGGGTATCAAATTAAGTGGGTATCTTCCAATGTTCCTGTTTTAAGTGTGAAATTCCGTCTTTGTATTATCATTTGTGTTATTATCTCCATCTTAGCTCAGGACAGACAAGCAAAATAATTTTGCACTAAAAAGACGAACTTTGGCTAAAATGAGACTGTTGAAGCTTTATGTTACTACACTAAAACGAACTTTGGAGATTGAGAACTGTAGATTTGACCAACATCACTGACACTGGAAACACATTATTTTGTGGCCAGTATGGACAAGAGGAACACTCACAGCAACCAATAACACTTGCAATGTACATATAGTCTTGTGAGTATTGTATTATGTCGGAAAAAAGTGAACGTTTTAAGCTATGGCAATATCTACATTTTAACAATACTAAATCATGGACATTTAATTTTCCTAGTTCAATGTCACGAACTCGTGGTTTTCACCATGACACATCGGTCGTTGATTGAACCTGTTTCTAAAAAGACATTTTTAGCTTAAAGCAACAAGGCATTTCAGTCAACTGCAGCAGCTTTATGGAAATTCCCCATGTTGGCTAAAGAGTTTCCAAATCCTATGTCGCAACCTCTCTTTGTGTTTAGACTGATAAGCCCGGTGTTTTGCTATAAAAATGTAGCTTAGTGCAGCTATAAAAGCTAATTCTGTTTCTTTTTACAGCATCTGGAGGTGCGCAGTACCAGCGGTTGGATTGGGCGGGTATGTACAGTACTCTGTTAAATGATAAGTCTGGTGATGTAAACCAACAAGCTATTAAACACATCACTGACCTGTTGTACTGGGTGACATGTTCCTTAATTACCATGAACACACACACACACTGTAGTTACACACTCTCCTGCTTCAGTAAATACTCACCAGAGCACCAAATGTGGATTAATCTGCTGTAAAATAGTCCCCAACAAATACATTATTTCCCCTGTTTGATTAATGCTTTCTAGTAACTACAGTGACCGGCTGTTTTAGGAAACTATCAGGGCTTTTTTTAGTTAAACTACTATATATATTTGTGAGCTTTTTCAGATTTACATCTTCAGTAGGAACCAATAGGCTAATAATAAACTTATTTTTCTCAGTTCTCTCCACCAGAACCAGTCTTTACCACAGATAAGAACAGCTATTACCTACTGATGAGCGACACCAATGGGTACAAGCACATCCATCATGTGATCGAGGTAGGTAGAATCATTTATTTTAGTCAGTAGTCCAGCAAAATCAGCTTACACACAATAATACACACACACTGCATAATATCCTTCCTGATTATGTTCCATGTTACGACCCACACACGTTCTGCTTTGACTCATTCGTGCAGAGCGTGTCTACGCCGATCACCGCTGGAGAGTGGGAGGTCATTGACATTCTGAAAGTAACTGAAGACAGTATGTAAGTTGGAAAAGTGTTGCATTATCACCATACAGGTGTGTAAGCGTGACCTAACATGCGCAATTTCTCTCTTGTCCATAACAAGGAAAATTAATATTTTAACAGTGAATGACTGTACTGTATCTTGTATTCTATAGCTGCTTGTTGCAACGCTTTATTGCAGCTGCACCTTCCCATCAAATCTAAATGTTCTTGATGCCTTTAAAAATTTAGGGAAAGTGTATAAAAGGATGCATTAGTCTGGCATATTTGTTGTTTTTGGAAATGTTGAGATTGTAGCACAGTTACAGTGGAGTTTTAAGAGAAAAGTAATGTCCCTTGTGTTGAATTCCTCTGTTACTCCAGCCTGAAGTCTTCCCCCCACTCATTCCTACCATTTATCCCACAGATACTATTCAAGTAACGAAGAGGGCGGCAAGCCAGGAGGAAGGAATGTTTACAAGTAAGAGTATATTGGAGTTTTTACTATTGTTGTTTATCTGAAGAGAAAAGCTTTTCTAAACACTTGTTTGTGTGTTAGGTGGACGAAACAAGGGCACAAGTGTCTGACTTGTACTTTACGTGGCGAGGATTGTCAGTATAACTCTGCCTACTTCAGCCACAATGCCTCCTTCTACCGTATGAGCTGCAGTGGTCAGTTATGCTTTCTTATTTTTCTTTCCCTCTCTGACTCTTGCAATAAATCAGTCTGTATAATGTATAATTAAAATATATGTACTATATTAGAAAATGCATAATATTGTCATTTTTATGCAAAGGTCCTGGCATTCCTTACTATTCTCTCATGGATAACCAGAAAAATCAAGGTAATCCACAAATGTGTATTTGAGTCCAAAATAATATCAAGGAGGAGGAAATGTTTCTAATAAATGTTCTATTTCTGCATTTCTAGACATGAAAGTTTTGGAGGACAACAAGGGCTTTAACAGCCTGATATCTGGCATCGCAATGCCCACCATGCGTCGAGGCTTCATCGAACTTTACGGACACAGTAAGTCAATTCAACGACAGTTTGACAGTTTATATTTAACCAGCGCTGGAAAATAACTAAACACATTTACACATTTTAGGTATTTGTACTTAGTTAAGTATTTCCACTCTGTTATTTCATGATGATCTTGTAAATAGAATACATTGTTAAAGATTAAACCAGTGGATTCCAACCTTTTTGAGTTGTGGCTCTCGTCTGGTTGTGGAATAGTTACACATTTTGGGATAAATGCTTATTCACGTATTTGCTGAGAGTTGGAGGAGAGGATGTTGTACACTAAATATGAAGCCTCCACAACTAAAATTCCACAAGTTGTTTGCATAAAAACAACAAAACCTATTTCGGTCTTTGTACAAATTACAACAAACCCTTATTTGTGTAATTGTTTCAAAAAGTTGATCCATTCCTTTTGACTGTTTGAGTCCAAAAGAGGTAAAATGATCAAATATTTCCCAGAAACCAAAGATTGGAGACAAAAGATTAATATAAATGTTGCACAACTTTGTTTTTTCTTATTTCCTACCCTCTTATCATCGTAAGATTTATCTTTATCTATTTTTGACAGAACTCTGGTACCAGATGTTTTTGCCTCCAGGATTTGATGATTCCAAGAAGTACCCTTTACTAATAGATGTGTAAGTATTTATCAAAAAAAGCAAATAAAATCATAAAAGTGTAATAATTATTTTCAAAAGAGGGGAAAATAAACTGATGGTGAATGTTACCCAACCTTTCAGGTATGCCGGCCCCTGCAGTCAGAAAGCAGACCTCATCTACAGGGTGAGCTGGTCCACCTACCTGGCCAGCACTGAGAAAATCATCGTCGCCAGCTTTGACGGAAGAGGAAGCGGTTTCCAGGGCGACAAGTTAATGCATGCAATCTACAAACGTCTGGGAACCTATGAGGTGGAAGATCAGATAACAGCAGCCAGGTAAGGAAAGCGAGAAAGCAGTTTGGACAAGTCAATGCATCTCCCGCTCAAACAAACAGCTTCGCCCGCTCCGTTTCCCAGGAAAAGCTTGATACAACTGGATTCGACTTGTTTCTGTGGTTGAAATGCTCCCAGGTGTACACAGACAGGAAATATCACGAGCATCACCGAGTGACAATGTTGATCTCTTGTACAGTTTACATACCTTGAATTTAATATTTTCAACTGAGATCTTCTTCTTCTTTTTTTTTATATTTTAGGGAATTCATTAAAATGGGCTTCGTTGACAAAGACAGAATTGCTATTTGGGGCTGGGTAAGTTGTTAAAGATGCATGTGGTATTCCAGAGCTCAGGGGGCAATAAATGGCTCTGAAAATAAGTTAATGTTTGACCCTCCTGTCCGTGTGATTTGTTCTTTACCTAAGGGGTTAAGATGCTTTTCAGTAATGAGCTGTTTCTCTTTCACAGTCTTATGGTGGGTATGTGACGTCAATGGCACTGGGGTCTGGAAGTGGAGTTTTCAAATGTGGAATGGCTGTCGCTCCAGTCTCCAAATGGGACTATTATGGTATTTTTTTCAGTCTTTTTAAGCAAGCAGTCTTAACAACCTTTTACAGGCCTTTTTTAATGACACACAATATATCTGCCTGTTCATTCCAGATTCAATCTACACAGAGCGTTACATGCTGGAGCCCTCACAGAATTACGAATTCTACGCTGTAAGTTTTCACACTGATCAGAATAAAGTCTCATCTCTTGTGTCATTAGTTACGTTATTTTCTGTGTTCACCAATAAACTGAATGATCTGGTTGTGTGCAGAACTCAACAGTAACTGGCAGGGCCAAGAATTTCCATTCAGTGCAGTATCTTCTGGTTCATGGAACAGCTGATGGTGAGTTGTGCAGGGCCTTTATTTATTTATTGATATTTTTCTGCATTTATAGTTTATCCAGTAATTTTCCTCCATGCCAACCCGTTAACAAGCAACCCTGTTTTGTGCAGAAGCCTGAAAATGAGACTAAAACAGTTGTTCTTGAACCCTTTTATTCTGGGTACCCCATAGAATCAGAGTTGGTCTAATTGATACCGAATCAGGTCAAATGTGGTTTACAGTTTTCATTGTGTGTCCTGGTTGAGTGAGGATTCAACCAGATGCTGCCTTATAACACACCCCATCATATGGCTATAATCTCTCTCATTGTGTAGCTGTCCTAAGATAAGGACGCTAAGATGAGCTAACTGTCAACTGCTTCATATTTACCATACAAACATGAGAATGGTATCTGTTCTTCCCATCCAACTCTCAGCTAGAAGACAAATAAGTGTGTGTTTTAAATCTCAACAAAGACACTCAGTGTCCAGAGAATTATTTATGATATTTTTGACCTATTGACCTTTTTAGCCTGGCTTCACCATCAGATTTGTGTCTGTGGGGATTTAGGAAAAATAATGGTTCAAATTGTGTTTAACCTTCAGGCCAAAATAAGCAGATTGCATTAAAAGAAATGTAATTATTTTGTCGTTTTCCAGACAATGTGCATTTCCAGCAGGCAGCTGAGATCTCTGAAGCTCTGGTGGATGAGCAGGTGGACTTTGAGGCGATGGTGAGTTATCCAAAGTGAAATCACTGGAAGACTTCATGCTTTAAGAATTTATATCAAGAAGTTAGTATACAGAGAAAAGATTACATCTCAATGGAAAGATGTGCAAACAAATCCACCCTGTGTTGAATATTGTGGCTTAGTGTAAAGTGTAAATATTACTAAATTTTTTTGACTTTTTCTCTCAGTGGTACACAGACAAGGATCATGGGCTCGGCGGGGCGGCCTATCCACACGTCTACACCCACATGACTCACTTCCTTCAGAGGTGCTTTGCATGAAGTCCCCTGGATCTCTTTTCACTGCCTCATGGGAATGCAAGAAAAAACAATTTCTGGGGATAAAGATTTCAATTGTAAATGCAGGTTTGATTATTAGTGCTCTAAATATCAGGAAAATGTATTTAATGTCATTCTTTGTCTGTGAAGTGTTGACTTGCATATATTCAGTCAGAAAAAAACAGCTCTGGAAATTATAAACATTTTACTTGTAACATGTCTACATTAAAAATAGGTTAATTTTTAAAGAGGTCATTACTTGACATCGATGTAGTAATGTGAAAATTGAAAATGCTCCGTCAAACTGTACCTGTACTACTTGGACATTTAGAGTTTTTACAATATTGTATACAATTATGCACAGAAATATAATGTGCCACCGTGATTTTATACGGTTTTACTAAATTTATGTATAATTTGATGTTTTGTAAAATAATAAATAATTCAGTAATAACTGTTATACATATCACGTGCTTCATTTTAAGGGGATATTATGATTATGGCCTTTATTCTTGAGTTTTCTGAAATAATAACTAACACTGCTAACATCAGTATGCTACCACACCTGCAATAAGTGTTTTTAAAATATATATATATATATATATATATATATATATATATATATATATTTTTAGCATCTGCACCATCTGTGTTTGAGAATTAGTAATAAAAGTGTTGGCAGGTATTTGGTCCAAAGAAAAGTGGCAAAATAACCAAACTGTTGGACAAAATACAATTTTAAGAGCTCACCAAAGATATTACAGTTCATCCTGAGAGGAACATGAATCTCTGTATCCAGTTTAATAGTGATCCATCAGTAGAGGGTGACATTTCAATCAAAACCACAAAGTTAACCTCATGGTGGCACTACAGTAAAAGTCAGGGATCACCAAAGTAATTTATTTTTGTGGGTGAAATGTCTTGACAACAATCAAATGAATTGCCATGAGATTTAGTCCAGATATCCTTTAGGGCCCGAAGGATAATCATTTCCCCTGACTTTTCAACTTGCGTTACCAGCAGGTCAAAAGTTTGATTTATCCAGTGAAATATGACGTCTGTGGTTTTGAGTAAAATGTCTCGGCAACTACTGGACGACCTGCCAAGAACAGGACCACCACATATTCACGTTCTCTTCAAAATAAAATTGCAATAACTCCGGTCATCCTTTGACTTCTCATCAGGTCAGATACCTGCAAAACAACTTTCCCATCAGCTGTACTTTGTGTTTAATGCTATTTAACAAATCTAATGCTAATTCAACTAAAATGGTTAACATTGTAGAAATTATGTATAAAATCAGTATGTTTGCATTATCATTATATAAAGGGGCCGCTGCCAAAGCACGACCTCACAGAGCTTCTAGCATTGCTGTACACTCTAAAAGGAAAGGTTAAATTATGTACTTTTCAACACATTAAAGGTCCATTGTGTAACATTTAGAAGGATCTATTGGCAGAACTGGAAAATAATCCATAAGTCGCCTTCCATGGAACCCGCCAAACCAAACACTGACTATAAATCGGGCCTTTGACGTTGTAGTTTCTTCTAATCGCTTCACAGCCCGTTCTCATCGTCAGACTCCAGCAGTGTTCAGTTAGTTGCAATCAGCAACTTCACCACTAGATGTCACTAAATCCTACACGCTGGTCCTTTAAATACATGGGGCCTGTATGTGAGAGTCATATAGCAATACATGTATTTATTTAAGAGCATCAATCTTTATTGAACAATGTCCCTCGTAAAATGGAGATAACTTCCACTGATGCAAAATAAAAGGGTCAATATTTCCGATCTTTGAAATTTGATCGGAAAGAATCCACAAATACTGACTCTCCTTTCAGATTGGTATCGCTTCCCATTATGATGACACAGTAGCACATTAAAGCATCTTCTCTACTTTCTGTTTAACAGGATGAGCTGCGGTTGTTTGATCTTAACACCTAAGTACCAGCTGGCATCACGCATGAATAGCATCTTTCCTTTCCGAACAAATGCTCGGCTTGTTGATTTGGCCGATGTGACGGGGCCCGTGTCTAATGGGTTGAGAGTAACAGGTGGACCTGGCAGAGTGGTAAAATTGGTCCACCTGGGCAGACCCATCCTCGACCTCCTGTTACAGTATATAAGACCACAAAGTAAGAGAGGAGGGCTAGATACAGACACCAGGAACAAGCAGAGGAACTAACAGCACCGTTCTTTGGAAGGAAAGAAGAAAAGGTGAGTTTTGATTTCTTGTAATGGTGAAACCGCTTTACCTTTAGCTTTCTGATCCAATATGCAAACTTTTTCTCTCTCTCTCTCTGTGTGTGTGTGTGTGTGTGTGTGTGTGTGTGTGTGTGTGTGTGTGCTGTTCAATGGTGTAGGTTATGACCATGAAAAGCATCCACTCTCTGGCTGGTATCCTCCTGGTCCTCGGCTTTGTCCAGAGCAGCTGGCAGGTTCCTCTGCTTGAGGCTGATGGCAACTCAAGGTACAGAAATCTATTGAGATTGTCTTTTTTTAGTAATTTATTATTATTATTTAGTAATAAAGTATAAAAACAAAATTCTCTGTCACAAAAAAACTGTTTAAATCCGACTGAATCACAGTTAAGGTTGTGGTATAGGTGGGTCATTTTAGGCAACAGTTATGAGATGAGTCTGAGAGTCAGCACAGTTTAATATGAGAAACATAAGACATGATTTACATGTATAAATCATATGAACACGTTCTCATTGATCCATCATCAGCTAAGGATGAGATCTTTTTTAAACATCTTGATATTTTTACGTCCTGTCATTCACTTTCTCTGAAATAGTTATAATGTAAATGTGAATAATCAAATTGCTAAATTATATATATATATACATATATATATATAATAGAACATTTTTATATATTTCATATAAAAAAAGAACAAATTATACCGATGCAAAAACTAGAAATAGAATTGAAAACTGTGGTGAAAACATGTTTGGAAGATACAGATGTTGCATTTTATCATCCCCAAACAAATATTACTTATCTTAAGTGTTGTGTGAAGAAATAAATTAAAACTTTAGCCATATATAGTATTTTATGTTGGATTGATGTTAAAAGGGAAATAGAATGGGAATCTCTATGGATCCAAATTTATTTTATTTCCTGAAATAAAAACAGTACTTATTATACTTATTATATTATATATAGTAGACTGTATGTACCATATTGGCAGGTGTGGATGGATATCATGCTGTTGCAGTAGAGACAGCTTTAAGTAACTAATGCTGTGGTACACATTTGTAGTTAAAAAAAAAAAAGGCCCTATCTATTTTACTATTTTTTAAACTTAAATTGATTGAAATTGTCACGCTGTGTTCTCCTTCCTGTGCTGTAGTTTTGAGGCAGATGACACATTAGGGGATGAGGTGAGGGAGCTGTCGAACATGAAGAGACACTCGGAGGGAACTTTTTCAAACGACTACAGCAAATATCTGGAGGACAGGAAGGCGCAGGACTTCGTTCGGTGGCTGATGAACAACAAGAGGAGCGGGTCAGTGTGGAGTCAATTCAAAAACAATTATAATATATATATATATGATAAGACTTGTTTGGCCCCATTTTTTGAACAATAAGAACAAAGGGACTTAACAACTGTCATATTTTACTTGAGTAAAAGTACCAAGAGAACTCGATTAAAAGTCCTGGATTATATTTATAAAATTGTCCCCCGTGACTGATATATTATTATATATGAAATTATTAGATGCATCATTATGTCAACAGCATTTTACTGCTGTAGCTGCTTGAGTTGAAGCTAGTTTAACTGTTTATAGTCAGGTAGTTTAGCTCTGTAACATACTGTAGGGCCCCTCCAAAGGGTCGCTAGATAAATCTGAGGGGTTGTGAGATGATTAATGGGACACACGCTTTTATCTATGTGAAATATTGGATAATTTGACCTCTTTGGGCCTCAAACAGTTATTTAAATGAAACCAGCTGATGGGAAATGTGTCTTTGGTAGATCTGATAACAACTCATAGACATCTGAAACATGAAAAGGGGGCCCAGAAAGAGGAATCAGAAGCCAGCAAAATTGGAAACCACCAGTTTAATCTTCAAAAACCCCTTAAAATGTAGCTTTAAATGTTAGATATATCACTCTGACATTAAGCATTCATGATTAGATAAATTATTTATAGGAGGGTTAGAGGGTTGTAAGAGTTTACACAGTCATTTAGATTTTATTGAGTGAGTGAAAGTAAGTGATCAAACAACCGCACATCAGATTTTGATCCACCCACTTTAAACTAGTAAGAAAACCAACGTAAAAAGAGAAATGTGAAAGAAAATAGTGTGCTCATGTAGGATCCTATTACAGGCTGATTGAGAATGTTTCAGGGCCTTTAACAATGTATTTTATAAGCTTATCATGTTTTTTGTGTAAATCTTACAAACTTAAATATTAAAAACTTTTCACTTGACACTAAAAAGCTTTTTAAAACTTATAATTAATATGAAATATATTTCAGTTATCCTCACTGAGTCTCGCTGTGTGTTTTCAGTGCTGCAGAAAAGCGCCACGCAGATGGGACCTTCACCAGCGACGTGAGCTCCTACCTCAAGGACCAGGCAATCAAAGACTTTGTCGCCAGGCTCAAATCTGGACAAGTCAGAAGAGAGTAGGCTGTCCCTCCTTCCTTCTCCTCCTCCTACAGTACCAAAAACCTCTAACAGCCTGCCTACCTGTGTGTGATTCCACCATGACGAGAGACAGAGAGATCTTGAGACAAAGAGCTAATCAACTGCTGCTTGTGCCACCTTTTTTTTCCTTTCTTTGCTTTCCCCCTCCCTCGATGTTCCTTGTGGTTGTGCTAAAATAAATCACCTGAACTTTTTGCACTGCGTTGATTGATATGTTACCAAAACTGTGTGATGATTGCGTGAGATGATTATATGACACAAAACATGCAAGCAGACAACCAACCAATCACAAAACGATCACGGCAACACGGCGTCTTCACTTATCAGAAGAAACAATGATCATAAAAGTGATGATTTTCTGATGAACGCCGCGCTGCAGGTCAAATACTCAGAGTTCAGATGGCACGTTATATCATGTGCCTGTGTACACACTCAGATCTGAAACGGACAGGCGGGGTGAAGCGTTCAGCAGGAGGCATGTAGATGGAAGCTTCACCAGTGACGTGAACAAGGTGCTGGACTCCATGGCTGCCAAGGAATATTTACTCTGGGTCATGACCTCCAAGTCGTCAGGGGAGAGGTAAAACTGAGTGACATGGCTGATATGATATATGCCAGAAATGCTAGGCGTGGTGTGATTGTGATTTTCTCTCTTTTGCAGTAAGAAAAGACAAGAGGACCAATGAGACACTTCCTCAAGGACTCCCTCTGGGTGCTGCACACAAAGCCATATAGGAGGAATAGAAAGCCATACCGCTTTGCATGTTGTAATGTCTTTTTTTACTTACTGCATGT